GGGGGGGGGTAAGTAAGTAAGTATAATTTTAAATTTCTACACACCCTTGATGACAGGCATGATAGCGCGCTGCTGGATGGCAGAGGGGCGCTCGAAACCGTAGGCATAGACACCGCGGAGAAGCTCAGCGCGGAGGTTCATCGCATCGAAGGAGTCAGTGATTTCATCATAGTTGGATTCGATTTGTCCTGTTGTTGACAGTTGTTTGTTAGCGATAAGGTTTTTCAACAGGACATCGGGTGATGTCCGGCTTCACTATACAAATGCATCGTCCCACCAGATGCTGACACAGATGGCAAAAAAGAAAACGAAAACGAAGAGAAAGAAAGAAGAGAGCTGAAAATGAAATACAACAGAGGAAATCCGTTGCTGGGACGTCAGGAAGTGCACCGAAGTCGCGGAAAAAGGGGACAACAACGGTAAGACGACCACGACGACAACAGTGCGGGGGTGACGAGCGAACGTACCTTCAGGGATCTCTTCGAGACCCTTATCGTTGGAAGCCATGATTGCGAAGTTGTTCTTTGGAGATCACAGACCGTAGCTGTGATCGTGGTGGTGAGTGAATGAGGGATGGGATGTGTAGAAGAGAAAAGCAAAAAAGCGAAGGGCCTAAGGATCCTTGCTATTGTCGGTGAAAAGAAAAAAAAAAAAAAAAATTTGCCTCAAGTGCAGAACCTATACTCTCGAAAAGAGGAGGGTACAGCAGGGACTAGTAGTAGCTGCTGAAAAGGGGCAGGAGGGCAGAGATATATCAATGCCCTAATGATGGATAGTTGGAATTTTAATACTGGTGGTTGTGTTGTTGTGTGGTTGGGATGAGGTTTAAGTTGTGAAGAAGAGAGGAAGAAAAAAGGAAGAAAGAAAAAAATATGGAAGGGAAAAAAAAAAAAAAAAAAAAAAAAAAGGTTTGGCTGACTTTTTTGGGTTTAACTCTCTTACTTTTTTTCTTTTCTTTTTCTCTTTCCCTCTTCCTAATCAATGAGTTTTCCAGCCTAGTGAGGGAGCGTGAAATGCGGGACTGAACTGACGCCCAACCACGGAAGAGAGCGAATCCTGCGCAAATTGAATGCGGAACTGGTTGAAACACGGAAGATGGAATAATCGGAAAATGAAGAAGAAAATAGAAAAAGAAGAAAAAAAAAAAAAAAAAAAAAAGGTGTTACCTCTCTGGATGTCGAAATGGATAGCTCTTTACATGCATCCTAGGAACGATATGCTAATGACTCTATTGAACTTGTTCTGACTATCTGACTGCATCTGCATATCTCCACTTTGCCTCTTGATTCACAGGTAGTTAACTTAAATAGCTGCTAGTTGCAAGTCAAACTTTCGAGATTTTAATTTTAATTTTGATGTCATGTTCCTCTCTCTTTTTTTTTTTTTTTTTTTTTTTTTTTTTTTTTTCCTTCTTTTTCCCTTCTCTATTTTCTTAAGAGATCTCATGCCAAGCATCACCACTTTTGACTGAACTCCGGGCTTAAAATAGTTAGGGCTTTGTAACTACTCATTTTCGATTCGAATGTCCTTCTGAGATCATGGATCCACTATGTCAGACAATCGGATTACAAGTATCAAAGCTCAGAACACACAGCCATTGACCCCGCCTCAACCTGGCCAACACAATCTATCAGCCCAGTCTTGCAAAGCTTCAGACCTGACTCTTGAGTCGTCGTTGCCTGTTGGGGTTGAGGGTGAACATGAACATGAACATGAACATGAACATGAGCATGAGGATATCAATATCGATAACAACGACTGTGCCGATGTAATCCCGCCGCATCCCCTCGGTGTCAAACCCTCAGGCAATGCCCTGACTGCCACTCATAACATCCGCCATTCTATGGGCAACCTGGCAGTCCTTTCTGACGAACTGATCATCCTGCTGCTGGAGTGCCTGGATAGCTCCTCGTTGTTGCGTCTGGGTGCAACGTGCAAGGCGCTGTATGCGTTTACGAGGGCTGACGAGTTGTGGAAGGGGCTTTTTATTGAGTAGGTTTTTTGTTGATATATTTATATTTATCTTGAGCTGCTTGATGCCTATCTGTCTTTCGTATATGTCTCATTGTTTTCGTGGCATTTGGGGGTTTATTTCGCTGCTGTGCATAATACCATCTTCGATATCCTATTGAAGGATGGCGCGTTATTATATACTGTTGCAGAAATCATGATGTCGAGAGGGCTAAGAAAACGAGAGAGAGAAATTGATTCAATTGTGCTCATACGTGCTCTATATAGCAAGATAAACCATCCATGCCTACATTGGGCATTCCTCACCAAACCCGCAGCTTCAAACCTCTTAAATCCACATACACTAACAAGCCCTCCCAGCAACCCCCCTAAATCCTTCACATGGCGAGACACCTGGCACGCAACTTACCTAAACCTCCCCGCGCGCCTGATCGCCTCCCCCGACTGCTCCCATCTATACTCCGACACCCTCCACCGGCCCTTCTACTGCGCCCACATCTCCCTAAAACCCTACATAACCAACATACCCACCCGTAACCAAATCCCCCGTCTGCCCAACCTCTCCCTGCAATCATTCCAAGAATCCTGGACGAATAAGCCCTTCATCCTGACCGAGCCCGTGAAGCAATGGCCCGTGTACAAAGAATGGTCGATCGAGAGACTACTAGAGCGATACGGCGACGTCATATTCCGTGCTGAAGCGGTCGATTGGTCGCTGAGGAACTACGTCGAGTACATGAGGAATAACACAGATGAGAGCCCGCTGTATCTCTTTGATCGCAGCTTCGTGGAGAAGATGGAATTACATGTGTCTATGCCTCCCACCAGCACCAGCACCAGCACCAGCACCAGCACCAACGGCACAACAAACGCAGATGCAGATGCAAATGTTAATACAACCCATGCCCAGCAACCAGCCTACACCCTCCCACCCCCGTTCACCGAAGACCTCTTCACCCACCTAGGCCCACACCGCCCAGACAACCGCTGGCTGATCATCGGCCCCCCGCGCAGCGGCAGCACCTTTCACAAAGACCCCAACGCAACCAGTGCCTGGAACGCAGTGTTGCGGGGTGCAAAGTACTGGATTATGTTCCCCAGCACCGCTGAAGCGACATCGGCTGGTAATTGTGGTAATAGGAGCAATAACAGTTTTTCGCCGATGGTGCCGCCACCGCCTGGCGTGTATGTATCCGAGGATCAGAGCGAGGTGACGAGCCCGCTGAGCATTGCGGAGTGGTTGATGAATTTCCATGAGGAGGCGAGGAAGGTGAGGGGCTGTGTTGAGGGGGTTTGTGGGGCTGGGGAGGTGTTGCATGTTCCATCTGGTTGGTGGCATTTGGTTGTCAATATTCCGGTCTCTGATGATGGTGGTGACGGGGGGTGTTGTATAGCTATTACGCAGAATTTCGTGCCGAGGGGAAGGCTTGCAGATGTCTTGGGATTTCTGAAAGGGAAGAGGGAGCAGGTGTCTGGGTTTAGGAAGGGGATTGACGATCCGTTTGGGTTGTTTGTGGAAAGGTTGAGGGGGGTTGATGGATATGGGGATTTGGTGGAGGGGGCATTGAGGGAGGTGGAGGGGGGGTTGGAGGGGAAGAGGGGGAAGAGAAAGTGGGATGAGGTTGTTGGAGGGACCGGGACGAGGTGTGAGGATGGTGGTGGTGATAGGATAGGTGGTGAGGAGGGTGGAGGAGGTGGGTTTAGTTTTGGGTTTGGGGATGATGGAAGTGATGTTGATGTTCCTTGATTTGGAGAGGTTGAGATATATTCTTAGACTGATGTATAGATATGTATGTATGGAAATATCATAGAATAGAGAGTTTTCTCAAGAATGCTAAATGTAAAAGTAGGACTAGTAGTAGTGCTATAACCCCATTCATAACTGCAGACGGGGTCCGACATATTAAGTTGGGTTGGGTGGTTGTCCATAGATTAGATATAAATATATTGGCGCCATCATTGGCAATTCAGTCCGCGGCTGTCACATAGAGATGTTTGATACATATATTTAAAATTATAGTGTCGCATCCTGTGGAATTCGCGCGATAAAAGAAGAGAGGGGGAAAGCAGTCGACCTGAGGAATATCCATCTCTCAGAAGCCAGCCAACCGGCAAATCAATCAATGGCAGGAAACCGCCTTCGTCGCCGCGCCTCCAAACATCAAGTATCCCAAAAACGCTCCCGCAGTAACCGCAAGCATAACCCAGCCATTGTACGTCATGAAGAGGAGCCTTCACATAACCAGTGTCAGCAGAAACGCAACTCTCGAAACCAAAATAATACGAAACACGCGAAAATGAAGAAAAAAACTCACATAATCATAAAACTATAGAAGACTTGCACGGCATAAAAGGCCGCCAGAACCAGCTTGCCCCTCCTCCTCCTGTTTGTTCGCGCTGCGAAGAGTAGTGAGCTGGATGCTTCGCCGTTATGGAGGAGGGGGGAATTGGAATTGGAATTGGAAGTGGGAAGGCCATTATCATTGTCGTTGTTGGCCAGTGTCTCGTCATCTTCATTGTTCTCAGAAGCGGTAATTTTAAACCTCTTGGATTGTATCTTTTGATGGTGGTTGGGGGGACAAGAGAAGATGGTTTAACAAGGGGTACAGTTGGAAAGGAATTAATTCCTTTCTAACCAGGGTTACCCGTTACCCGTTACATCGTGATGAGAGATGGAGAGAAAGGCCGGGGGAAAAAGGACAAGGAAAAGAAGAAAAAACCAAGGCATACTGGATATATAACCCCGCGCCTCGGGGATACTCCCATCCTTCAATAACAGCCTCTGTCCTGCCTCATACCTGCAAGCAAGCTCACGGACACCCTCATAACCCGCTGTCAGAAGTGCAATGGCCACGAGCGAGAGGACAAGAGAGAAGGGACCCTTTATCTGCCATTGTTTGAAGATAATACAAAGGTTATGTGAGGAGAAGGTGAAGTGCATCTATGTCATTGATAGATCCCAAAAAATAAATGGAACCTCATTCCGTTAGAAAGGTGTAACCAAGTAGCTTGTGTTTGGTGCCTGGAGGCCTAAACGTGGGACTGGTGTGCAGGGTATATGAGTGGTAGATATATATGCACATACGTTCATACTGCATTGGTTGCCCATATCCATATCGCCGTGGCCGTCCATTGTTTCGGGATGAGGTAAGGTGTGTGGTTGGCAGAGCGCGGGGTGTATGATATGTTGCAGTGTCAGAATGGATGGATGAGGTTTTATAAAAGCTTTTGATTCTCAGCGGGAACTCAACCTCTATATACCTTCTCCCGGTTTGAAGACGGCTAGACAGCGAGAAAAAGCAAAGCCGGTTGCTCAATGGTTGGGGTGCTTCGAATGAGCTGTTAGTTGTATTGGTATGCGGTGTCTCATGTTTATCTTCTGGTAGGGCTGCAGATCAGCTGCACGTTCAAGAGGCACTTTGAGCAGATTAGTTTACCTGCAAACAGGGCAAACTAACGTAATGCACCTATCCAAATCCATTCATATTCACCAAATCGTTAAATATGACAGCAAAATCAAAAGATCAGGCTTCAAATCAAGACGGAAGGCTTCTCTTAGCCTGTGAAACGGGTCAAACTTCATATATTACGACTGCTGCCAAAATGTACGATGTTCCACCCTCGACCTTACGCGATTGAATCAAGGGAGTCAAAACACGTTCACATGCTCTCAACTTTCTAATAGAAATCTGACCTCCATAGAGGAAGAATCTCTAGTCCAATGGGTAATATCCATGGATGAGAGAGAGGTCAGTCTCCTCGAATTGAAAACGTACGAAATATGGTGGATTTACTACTTTCTACCCGAGTTGATTCTACTGTGGGAGAATAATGGGTTCAAAGATTCATTACACGTCAGAAGGAACTAAAGACTAGATTCTCACGCAAATACAACTACAGTGAGCTTTGTGTGAAAGATCCTAAGATCGTATGGGAGTGAAAATGGCTGGACCACGGATAAGCTGGGTATAATCTGGCTCAAGGAGCCTTTGAGAAGCACACCAGGGCTCTTATGATTGGCAGATATAGGCTATTGATTATGGATGGACGTGGCAGTCACAGCACGTCTGAATTTGATCAGTACTGCATGGAGAAGTCTATTATATCTCCTTTATATGCCAGCTCATTCATCTCCTCTGCTGCAGCCACTAGATGTGAGCTGCTTTGGACCCTTACAATGAGCATACAGACGAAGGGTTGAGGATTGCATGAGATTAGGGTTCAATCATATTATTGATAAGAAGGATTTTCTAGGGCTCTATCCTTAGCAAAAGAAAACAACGAGCTGAGAGCTGCAGTTGAGAAGAAAAAAGGTGTAAGAAGGAGCAAGCTCGTACATTTTATAGCTCAGAATGGAGCCTTAACAGCTGACGAAGGAATAGCTAGGGCTCAAGCAATAGATCAAACCGTACAAAGGGAGGTAGAGGATTCAAACCAGCCGCCTAGAAAGCAAGCTTCACTACACTGCAGCAAGTGTAATGTAGTTGATCGTACTGCTAGAACCTGCCAACAGACATAAGGAACAGCTCTATATAAATTATATGAGAAATTCTAGTTTGGTGGTTGCTTAAGTTCGCACTTTGACTGGGTTTGAAAGGCTATCCGCTGTGACCGATCACGTTAGTCATGCGACTGCTGACTGATAAGAATAGCACAGATACCTTAACGCAAATACTAGCAGCCCATTCGAATCAAATCAAACTTTATAATCAAAATTCCTTTTTATTATTATCACCCTTGGACGGATTAGACAAGAACACACGAACCATTGCTAGCCACGCTCACCAATTTTACTCACCTACATCTGCATAAACCCAAACCTCAAAATACCCCGCGCCACCATATACTGGATATTATCCACTTCCTGCCGCCATGGCAGAAAACGTTCCGCCCGCAACCACCGCCGGCCAAAATAGCACCACCGCCAACTCCGCTGGTTCGGGTCCAGAACAGATGCAGAATCGCGGGATACCATATTATGAGAAGCTGAGACGAGAACTGCGAGAGACAATACAGAAGAAACGGTTGATGGATAAGAATATGGTATGTCCAAGTCGTTTTCCTTCCTGCGCGCTTCCCATGCTTTCCGTTCTACCTCCGGTCCTATCCCCACCCTTATTCCCTTCTCAATATCCTCCGTTCCACAGCACATGGCAATGGTACATTAGTAGAAATCTGAACAGACACCCCACAGGCCGCCCTAGAAGAATCAATCTATCGCTTTGAGCAATCCTACCTCGAAGAAACCGGTGCCGGAAACATCATAAAGGGATTCGACAATTACATAAAAGGCGCATCAGGCGTGTCCGGAATAGGGGCAGGGAGCAGTCTCGGATCCATGGCTGGCGGTGGCGGAGGTGGTTCCGGTGGTGGTGGTCCGATGACGCGAAGAAAGACAGCCGTTCAGGATTGCGATAGAGTGTTTTCGAGGAGTTCTGCGAGTTTTATGAGGGTGCGCTTTCCCCCCCATTCTTTCCCTTCTCTGATGTCTCTTTTTTCAATTGACTTCTCTCATTTATCATATTGTTCCAACTAACAAGTTAACATGAAAAACAATAGGACTCCCCCGCCCCCTCCAGCGCAAACACAACCCCCTCCCACGCACCCACGCCAACCTCCGCCTCCATCCCCGGCACAAACGCTAATAGAGATAATAATACACCTAATAATACTACTACTAATAATAATAATTCCGCCCCCAGCAGCATCAAGGGAGGAACGAGCAGTAATAAGAAGAATAAAAAGGCTACTTCAGGCAGTGCGAGCGCGAACACCAACACGAACACCAATGCCAATTCTGACGGGCAGTCTGCTGGTGGGAGGGGGAGGGAGAGGGATGATGGCGATGATGCGGAGAGTGGTGGGAATAAGCAGCCTGTTAAGAGGTTGAAGATTACGTATGGGAGGGATTGATTTGATGAGGTGTTTGGTTGGGGTTGGGTTGGGTTGAGATTTACGTTGTATTTTTTTTTCTCTCTCTTCCTTTTAGAGGTTGATTTTCAGTTTCCTGTTATGGGAGTTGATTTTGGTAGGGCTGGGGCGGGGACTGGGAAAGCGGGCGTTGGACTCGGGATTCGATTTTGGAATGTTTGCATGAGATTGGTCTTTATTTGCAGGGAGTAAACGAAGAACAAGGTGAGAATTGCTAAGTGAGATGGGATTGATACATCAGTTTATTTGTGAGATGCATGCTTACTTGCACGTCCGGTTTCAGTGTCATTTCTTCGGCAGCGAGGAGTTTTCTATGGTGCCATTCATGAAGATGTATAGATATGACATAGTATACTGTTGTTCCTTTCATTCACATTTTTGTTCTCTTGTGATAACCAACTAATGATAACAATATTTAGTAAACGATCTAGTTCTTGCGCTGACTGTGGAGACATGTTACTGTCTGGATGTTGTATGTCAAGCTCACATCTCAACACTGCATCAGTCGCTGCCCTGTGTTAATAACATTTGACTCTATGCCTTTACTTCTCACTCACTAGGGCTGCCACTGGCGGAAAGGGGAGCTGTGTGGTAGTTAACAAAGCCAAAATGAGGAGAAAAGCCATAAACCACTTTAAAAAGTCCGTGCAATCGTGCCCTTCCTAGCAATAATAATAACTAATCACTCCATACGAAAAGCAACACACATCATCCTCCCTTATCAACTCATCACTATTACCACCCCACTCATACCCTTCCATTCCCCACCGCGACTCCCTCACGTCTCTCCTAAAGCTGCAACCGATACGTCGCAACCTCAAACGCCCTCAGCTCAATATCCACCTGCACCTCCCCCCTAGCCCCAAGTCTGTTCCCATCACCCCCTTGCCCAATCTTCATCTCCTCCAAATCATCCTCAAGCAAATTGCACTTCCACACCTTCTTAACCGGCAAATTCGTAACAATTGCCCCACGGCTCTTGCCCCCCAACGCCTCAAAGATACGGAGCACAACGCTCTTCCCAGCACGCACTTTAAACTCACCAAGAGAGACACCTTCATCATCTTCTCCGCGCTTGACCACGTCGAGGATCAGGGAGTCAGAGCCCTGGAGCGATATAGCTTTGAAGATATGTGCGTTCTCTTTACCGGTGGCCAGCTGGGAGACCATAGGGTTGTTGAAATTGTATCCTGCACGAATAGTTCGGGCGTCTAGTGGACCTGAATGGGGCATGATTGCGTAGCGGATGTGGTGCCGGCCCATGTCTGCATTGGCGTCGGGAGCCTTGGGGGCGCGCAGGAGGGAGAGGCGCATAAGATTGCCGCAGGTTGCGAAGCCGTATTTGGAGTCGTTGAGGATTGAGACGCCGTAGTTGGATTCGGAGAGGTCGGCCCATTTGTGGCAGCAGACTTCGAATTTGGCCATGTCCCAACTGAAGGAGGCGAATTAATAAATGGTTTGAAATGATTTTATAGATGGGGGAAGGGTGATGGTGCATACCTGGTGTTGTAGTGCGTTGGACGTCTGGTTATCCCATATTGGGATTCATAAGACGCCTCAGTGTTCCAAATATCAACGGGGAATTCGACCTTGAGGAATTTCATGGATTCCTGCCACTCGACCTCGCTGGAAATCTCTACATAGGGAAGCGTATCACTGTCTGTGACAGCGGCTAAACTGACGGTTGTTTTCACCCAACTCTTATCGCTGATTTTGGTTTCCGTCACAACAGAGGCACGCTGCGGAGTATATTCCAGAATTGAAGTTGTACCGGACGTCAATTCCTTCCGGGAGTCGAGATGATAAACTTCAACGTCCCAGGCTTGCCAGTATATAGGCTTGTCGTCGAAGATCACCAGCTGGTTAGCCTTGCTACCTTTTGGGATAATTTCCCTCTTCTCCTTCAGATCAACAAGCGAGGTAATTAAACCATTCGAAACTTCGATTGACAGTTTGGGATTAGAAATTCGATAGGTTCCTGGTTTTGTTTGCACCAGAGAAACAGAGTTTTCATGTGTAGAAGTAAGAGGCTGAATATTAACGATTCCCATGTGTCCTTGTGCGAGGGCATATCTTGGCGGCGCCGAGGAGTTCGGAAAATCAAACATTTTGACGATCTCCGAGCGATGCCAGGGAAGGGTATTGATGGCTACCAGTCTATGCTCGATGCTACTGCCCTGAGTTCCAAATCCAAGAGCTTGCAATGCCTCTTCTCTTCTTTTCGATGCGGTTTTGAATATTTGGGCATATACTTTGTCAGAATCATCATAGCACATCTCAATCGAGCTTCCCGGAAGGCAGTCATGGAATTGGCAAAGGAGAACACCTTCCCACATATCATCGATATCCTTTTTGGGATATTTGTAGTTAGAGTCTTTAAGACTGGCCAGCGTCGCAAGCAACTCCAAGTCACGTAGCGCAAACTCGGACTTCCTGTTGTTCAATTTATTTTTGGCCTGCGTTGTGTAAGTTCCCCGGTGAAGCTCAAAATATAGCTCACCATACCAGGTGACGAATTCAGTTCCTTTCGCAGCCTTGGCTTCAAGTTGCTCAAAGAAATCATCAACACTGGAACCCATTGTAACACGGGGGAGAAGTTCACCCTTATCACTCATGCCACGGAGTCTGCGCAGCTTCTCGAGATGCTCGAATGTTGGACCACCGCCACCATCACCTTTCCCAAAGACAAGAAGTGAGGTGTTATCTTGATCCATCGACTTGTGCTGAGTAACACTCCGACGGACGTCTCCAAAGTGGGCATCAGCTGTATATGTTTCCGATGGAGCCATGTGGCAGAGTACTTGACTGCCATCCAAAGCGACCCAATTAAAAGTTGTGTGCGGGAAGTTGTTGATATTGTTCCAGCTGAGTTTCTGAGTGAAAAAGCGGCTCATGCCAGCCAATCGACAGAGCTGAGGGATTTGTGATGAGTACCCGAAAGTATCTGGCAGCCAAAAGGTGGTACATCGTTCGCCAAAATGGCTCTCGAAAAATCGTTGGCCATAGATGAACTGACGAACCAAGGACTCTCCACTTGGCATATTGGTATCGTGCTCTACCCAGCTTCCGCCAATGGGGGTGAAGCTCCCCTTTTTAACCCACGATTTGACACGATCAAATACATAAGGGTAGTCTTGTTCAAGCCATTTGAACTGTTGAGCTTGAGAGCAGACAAAACGGTGTTCGGGGTAGCGATCCATCAAGTTGCATTGGTTGGACCAGGATCTAGCCACCTTCCGTCGTGTCTCTGCCCAAGGCCAGAGCCAGCAAGTGTCAATGTGGCAATGGCCGATGGCGTAAACGACCGGCTGCTTATCAGTTTTATAGACTGCATCAGAATCGACCTTGTCACCGAGGTATTGCTGTGCAATTTTGCGACCCTTGATAATAGATTCTTGGCTGCCGTCACCTTCGATAAACGTGTCAATAATGGCGTTTGCGACCTGCTGTGCCTCGTGAGAGTGCCAGGAATCTGATGGGAATTCACGGGCAGCATCTTCAGAAGTGATTTAGTTACCTGTCCACTGGTTTCTACAAAAAGAGGATTATACACACCTCCAATCATCCAGAAATCATAATAAAGCGCCCTGGCCTGCAGGTTAACGGCGGTAATCCTTGCCATTTTAAGTTGGTAGAAATTGTTTGGACTCGGAGGTTGAATGGAATCTCCACCAGGAGCATTGCCAAACATGCCATTGCAGGCCATCTCAATATAAAAGATATGCTCCTTTCCGTCTCGGAAACTATCAGGCAAAATCCACTCAACTCTGTCCCCGCCACCAGTTAAACCTTGCAACGGTTTTCCATCCGCCGTCCACACCATGCCCTCGTTGTTCGCATCCCAGTGGAACTCAAGCCGTTCCTTTTTAAGCATATCCTGTGGAACTATGAGCTGGATCTTGAACCAGTGCGTTGACCAGCTGGGGCCAAAGGACTCTCCGATCTTAGTTGGTTTGAATTCATTGGAGACGGCCTCTTTGAAGCTGGGCCTGGCAAGGTTTGGGGGGGAATATACGGAGAGCTTGACGTGCTGCTCATCGTCATTTGTAGCCTCATAGTATTTCCTATAAGCCATAAATAACAGAAAGTGTCAACCAATTGCATTTAAGACCTTCGAAGGTGGGGGAGTTGGATGAGTCGTACGCAACGAGGTTGTGACCTGAATATTGACCTCCGTCAGTGAACTGACGGAGGCGGTCTTTGTAGATGCTCCTGATCTGCTGCCCAACAGGACGATGGACCAGAGCAGGATAGGTGGTAATAGGTGGAAGCTTGCTGGTTCCGCCCATTGCTGGTTGTCTTGTTGCTAGTCTTGTTGCTCGAGTTGTTTGTTGACCGGCACTGGCTGATTGATTAGAAACGAGCGGTTGAGCAGAGAGATAGCTTACACTGATATTTGTGCACCAGGAAACATTGAGATACTATGACAATGTATGTTAGGGAATTGAGCAGCATCAACGCTCAGGTCGAAAGAAGGTAGCGCTTCAATACAGAAGAAGCTTATAGCGGTTGGAGCTGGGATGTTGGTTGGGGTAAGGGGAGGCTGGAAGTTGCGGGGGTCAAACCTTGGGCAGGCACACTTTTGGTTTATCCATGGATGACAAAGCTCAGAGCAAAGCTAGTTACTATTAACAAGTTTACTGCGGAATCGCCCATAGCTTTTGCTGAAGCTTACAGCATGCTGGGACTAACCTCACTGGCCCAGCTAAGCTTCCAGGGTTGCTCGTGACTGGTATCGGTGTATTCTGCAGTAATATTGGTTGATCGTTATTCTAATATTGGCAAACAGCGTTGCATCGTCCGGCAACATAGACATGAATGACCATTAGTTATCGATAACAGCGCGGGGTTTCCCAACCAACAAAGATCCCCAAACCATCTAATTACCCCTATTGGAATGCAGAAATGTAATTACCGTTTACTCTGTAAAATATTGCATATAAAATACTGCATACTAATAGACTCACTCTGACTTTTCAGTGCTCCAAAGGAATCCTCTTCAGCGTTGATTCCCCTAAGACAGAAGAAACAAGTCCTAACAACCTTCTGGGCAAACATCAATCATTCTTAACCACCTTGATACATATTGAGGATATTTCTAAATCAAAACCTTGGAATACACCCTTGTAATTGAATTTCTTCATAGGATAATCGAAGGGCTTGTGAGTGTGATACGTCCGCATGGTCCTCAGGTTTTGATATCTTATGACTGACATGAACTGCAGTGTAACGCCCATGAAAGCTAATCATGTCTATTCGATGCAAACATCACATAAGATTTCTACATACAAACATAGGGAGTGGAAGATAGGGCTCTCCGTCTGCTCAGCCGTACTCAAATCACTTGCCGGCCTGTTGGTAGTCGGGTTGGTGATTACTAATTGGATCCAGGCTTTCATACGATATATTTTTTTTGTTCATCTTTCCCCCCAAAAGCCTATATCAGCTGTTGGTCTCCATACAAATGCAAAGTTCATAGGAAGGCAGGCTTGTTAGTCACTGAGTGGGTGGCCATCAGCGAACCCGGGCTTTCATATGTTTTTCCGACTTTTTTTTGTTTTAGCCATGCTCTCTTACGATCTTATTGTTTATCTGAAGCGAAATGATCAGCGAACTAACGAGGGCGGACGAGATATCTCCACTCGCCATCCCTTTGCAGCCTCTCCCATGATGGCGGACAGCACAAAATAGGCCTGGGCGTCAAATCTGGGTCGAGTGGTTTCCTGGCATCGGGAGTTTCTCTGGGGTACTTCCTGTTGGTCTCTGCCGCGATGCTTTTGAACTCGACTTGGCCGTACCTGGGTTACAAGAGATAGAAATGCCAAGGTGTTGTCCCCCTCCATCCGGAAAACTAACACGATATCGGGATCCGCTGCCCCTGATAGGATCCCTAACAATCTAAAATCATGAATATGGCGCATGAGAATGCAGCTTGCCCACATCTGAACAAGTTGCTCTTCGAGTTTGAGATGCAGCGTTGCAAGAGAAGTATTGGAGATGACCAGGTCTTAAATACTACGCGATGGGGCTTTGATGAGGTACGGTGAGATATAGATAGAGCTATGATAGACGTTACTACATTTTAATTAACTATATTTCAGGGCCTCCATTTTGCATGTTGTTACAAAGAGTTTTATCGCATTGAAGCAAAATTAACTCCTTGAGCTGATGCAGGGTCATCATTTGCCAAGCCACGTAGTTAACTGCCTAACTAACTAACTAATCAGGGCTAGAGTGATGACGCCGGATGGAAACAATAATCCTCATGGAACGAAATGACTGACTTTCAATCTGTCGCCATGCGGCTGTGCCTGTCTGTCTCTCTTCCTCAGGTCATAATTTGGGCTTTCGGAGGTGGCAGGACTACTATCCTTCTGGCAAGATACCCGAGGGTTTTGTATTATGTGGTCGAGCACGCAGTTAGGCATACATAAGAATCTCCCAGCAGGTAACTTCGTCGATCTTCAAAAACCAATTTACCGTCCGGGAAGGATGCATTGATATCAATTTCAACATGCACGGAACTTCTATGTCAAGCCCGCGCTATTCTGCCTTGCCGGGGAAGACAAGCGGGATTGAACTTTGGGATCTTTCCCGGTCGGCCGCCTACGCCGAAGAGGAAGAAGAAGAAGAAGAAAATGGAGATGAAAACAACTTTGAGATCCAGTCAGATGGAGCAGACGCACTGGATGGCGATACCATAGTGCCCGAGGGAGGGGAGGTCCAGGAAGACAAATTTTCCCCCTTCCAGGACATGCATCATGACCAGAACCCTATATTTACATTCCGGGCATTACTCGTTGGATGTCTGTGCGGAGCACTGGTCAACGCTTCTAATATATATCTTGGTCTGAAAGCTGGCTGGACGACCTCCGCCAACATTTTCGGAGTGAGTAGTTTCTGTCTTTACAATGACAGATGACAAGCACGCATGCCAATAGTTAAGGTCATATATCTAGTCAATTGTGGGATTTGCTGTCCTTCGATCCTGGACGAAGTACACTGGCGACAGCAACTTTGGCCCCCATGAGAATAATATCGTCCAAACCGCTGCCACGGCGGCCGGAGGTTTGTCGAATGTCTTTGTATCAGCCATCCCTGCGCTATATCAGCTGGAGCTCCTCTCTGTCCCAGCAAAAGATTTCTTTCGAATTGTAACATTGACTGCCGTAGGAGGCTATTTTGGTCTCTTGTCTATTGCGCCACGTACGTGTCATCTTTTCTTCCATGCCCCCTTTTTTCATGAAGATTAACAATACCTTGTCCTCCTCTCCAGTGCGGAACTTCTTCTTGGTCCAGGTTGCCCGAGAACTTAATCTCATTTTCCCATCGTCCTCTGCTACTGCTACCACTATCCGTAGTATGCATCAAGCTGCCAGTGGGGCATCAATGGCACGGCAGAAACTTGCTGCTCTGCTCTATGCGTTTGTTTTTGCCGTGTTTTTGCGTATTGCATCTCAATATGCCATTGGCATTCTCTGGGTAAGATCTACCTCTCGCGAAGTTTAGAAGTTAAGCTTCCTCTCTCCGAACCTTTTTGACTTACTCCCTTGAATTTGCAGGACTGGCATGTATTTACCTGGCTGGTTGAAAGTGGCTTTTTTGTTGAATTGGCCATGTCAATGGAAAGCTGGCGCTGGTTTGTTGAATGGACGCCAGCTTTCATCGGGTCTGGGATGCTTGTGGGAATCAATGTTGCAATCTCTTTTACCGCAGGGTCTGTTATTGCATGGTAGGTTAGCAACCTCAAACTGGATCGTCTGTATCACTGGCTAATCAGTACACAGGGGTGTCATCGGACCATATTTGGTAAGCCATGGAATGGCCTTTGGAGAGCCTGCATCCACAAACCCCAAGTGGTCGAACTTAATGTCATACTCGTCTCTGTCGAAGAACTTCGCAACCGCATCTAACCCAAGTCCTCGGTACTGGCTTCTATGGCCAGGAGTGATTACGATGGCAGCAGTTGCACTTACCGGTGTGTATAAACAAGAAAATACATAACTGTGTTACTACAGTATGGTGGGCTAATTAGAAACTTGCGCAGAACTTGCATGTCAATGGCGAGTGTTTTGGATTATTTCTCGAGACTTTACTAAAGCAATTAGCGGCAAGGTGCTGAGCTTGCGACAGAGCAACTATCGCTATACTCCTTTAACAGAAAAGGAAGAGGACGATGTTGTCAATTCCAAAGACAGTATCAGACTCTGGATGTGGCTACCGGGTCTGATTGTAATTATCATTGTGGCCTGTCCTGCCCTGAAGTTTCAGTTTGGCATGGGGGTTTCAGAATCGCTGTTGGCTCTCCTGTTAGCATTTGTACTGTCCCTTATGGCTATCCAAGCGACTGGAGCAACCGGTGGGTTCCATTCCAGTTCTTAATGGCATGGAACAGGGTGACTCTGACAAGCAAAACTATGCAGATACTACACCACTTAGTGTCCTTTCCAAAGTATCTCAAGTTACTTTGAGCAGCACAACTGGGCATCACATCATTCAAAATTCCCAGCGCCTGAATCTTCTAGGCGGCGCTCTAACAAATATCGGTGCAAGCCAAGCTTGTGGTATGCATATACCCCTATATAGAATAGCTTGGTTCCTCTTTCAGCTCTGCTCAAAAACTCACGTTGTTTGCAGATCTCATGGGCGATTTCCGAGTTGGATACCTCTTGGGCACATCTTCTCGGCTTCAATACACAACGCAGTTAATAGGAACTCTCTTTGCCACTTTTTTCGCACCATCCATATTCCTCATGTTCGCAACCGCCTACCCGTGCATCCTATCCGCCGAAAACAACCTCTCGGATTCCAACAGCAACAGCAACAGCAACAACACTGCTGCTGCCTCAAACACCTGTGAATTTGCATCTCCGTCCATCGCCGCCTGGCGTGCCGTAGCTGTAGCTGCCACCGAACCCATTCTACCCATTCCATACTCCTCTCTCGTATTTTCCCTCATAATGGCCGTAATCGGTGTTCTGATGGTCATCCTCCGACACAACGTGTGGGTAGGGAGATGGGAGTGGTTGCGTGCGTACCATCCTAACCTTATGATCTTAGCCATGGCTTTTACGTTGCCGTCGCCACAGTATGGGATTGCCATGTTTATTGGCGCACTGGTGGCGGCCGCTTGGACATGGAAGTCTCCGTCGGGTTTTGAGGCGTTTGGGTATGCGGTTGCAGCAGGGTTTATGGCTGGGGAGGGGATTGGAGGGACCATTAATGCGATGCTTTCTGTGTTGGGATTTGGAGGGGAGAGGTTGGGAACAAGGGTTGGATGTCCTGCTGGGAGATGTTGATGTATTTTGTTACATTTTGGGTTGAGAGAAGGTGCCTGATGCAAGGGGGGAGAATCCGTTTATGTGCTTTGACTGATTATGATACTTGGGGCCCTGATTTTATGATCCCATTCATAGATGGTTCACTTTCCAAGTTGGGATAGATGTAGTATGAATATATAGATACATGTTATTAACATAGTGGGTACGGAGGAAAGAATATCAAGATCTCGTTAGGTTCTGATTTCCCATTAATTAACCAGTGTCATGTTTTCATCTGAATGCGAAGTAAGGTAGAAGTTTCTCAATATACCAGTGCTGACTTCATATCATCTACTTAACCAACTGCATCAACATCTACATCTCCACCAATATCATGCTCCGGTATCCCGACAGCTAGCCCCTCAACTTCGCCTTCTTTAAATATCGGTCCTATTTCACGAGCACATTTAGGTTAGTTGATTCTATAAAACAAGCAACAGAAAATGAAAATCCAAATGGTTTCACTTAAGAGAGGAGCAACTCAAGGATGATGGAATTACAAACCTAGAACAGGATTTACTATGTAGCCCGGCTTTGTCATATTAATTGACCTGGAGCTCGACCATTGCGTGATTCTGCTCCAGTCTGCGCATTGATGGGTTGTGGCCGTGGCACTCGGTTTCAAGGAACCCCGTTTCCAGTTGTATGTAATGATGCCCACATCGCCGTGGCACATTGCTGATTTGCGAAGATAGTTTAAGCAGTGGTCTAGAATAGAAACGGTCCACATTGTCCAGTTAGCTGTTTCTGATCTTTTTGCCTTTTAAAATAAGTAGGATATACTAACGGGAATGCAGCTCCATAATTGCTTCTTCGTGTGCGGTGGCTCCCTTAAAATAGTGGTCTTTATGGACAAATTTATATAGCCATCGCTGAGACTCTTGCGTCAGGAAGCTCTTCTTTAACATTTGACACATTCAGACGAAAGTGCAGAAAAGAGCCGATGTCTTACCACACAATGCAGTTCGTGAAAGACGTTTAGTGTGCCTGCATATCCGGAACCGTCAGGCAATGCAACGGCATTTTTGAGGCGTCCCACTGCTTGCAGATCATCTTCTGATAGGCGAACATTCATAACTTGGAGGGTGATATGCTTCGTCAGTCATGAAGTTCCATGTGTCGATAGACTCGGAGCACGCACTATCAAAGATATCTTTCCAGGCTTTTTCAAGCGCAGGTCTTGGTTCACCCACGTAATCTCCTTGAGCACCGTCGTCATGTTTCCATTCAACGACGTTCCATTTCAACGCTTCGTTTGCAGGAGCTGTATTGAGATTAGCTGATTGCCCTGGGACAGGTATCAACATTGAGGATCGAGAACATTAGCATTCAGGGACTTCTAACAGTAAATTAAGCTGCTTTGCAGCTTTTTTTCCAGTTTTCGATTGTTCTCAAATACAATTGCGCTGAAAGCGAAGAGAAATAAAAAGGCTATGCCCGTCACAAGGACGATTTTGATATGTTCCCGCCAAAACGGTAGCTTATTTTCATGATAGAGAGCCGATGATTTTTCCAGCAGTGTATCTGTTGTGCCTGCACTCTCCGAGGAAGAAGGTAAAGAATCGTCGTATGTAGGCCTCTGTTTTCCCAAATCCATTTTCAGGTGGAAGATGATCTCCTGCTAGAGTGGGACATTTGATCAAAACAGCAATAAGACAGCTGGATGGAAGAGAAAGGGAAGGACAATCTGGATGGAATCCTGGATAGTAAGTTAACGAGGGATTATCTTGGGGGATTCAGATTCGATTCCTGCCTACTAACAATGCGTTACAACCAGTTCTTCCCTCATGCCAAATTTTGCAAGGGGATGACAGGAAGACCATTCACAGAGTAATTGCGTCTGACATTGCCTTCTATTCTTGATGATGTGGTTAACCACATTGGCCATCTACTGCAGGTAGAGTTGGCTAATCAATCATGGCAATGTCAATAACTGTCATTCAGGGAATCCTAAGTGAAGACAACAGCTATGCGGACACACCATGACAGCCAGACAAGTCATCAACGATTATGCGTGGTCATTAGAGGAGTGTCATCGGCTCATGACCGCATAATTCAGCTGAAGAACTCGTCAAGCACTGTATCATAGGTTCTGAACATTGCATCACGACGGTGACATACAGAATATGATATGACATCGTTAGCATTATGTTAAATCACACACAAGACGGATATCAAACAATTACTCCATATAAATAATTCGTATTTTGGTCTCCGAATTCAAATCATATGTGTCGATCCGCCCACGACCTGTAAGCCTAAAGTTCACCGAAGATTGAAAATTTCTGTCCCAGAGAAACTAAGAAGCGAAAACCCACCAAAATGCAGCTCCAGAATCTATTGACACTTATTTCTCTCTTTGCGACCTTAGTCGCAGGAGCACCGGCTTCACCAGGTTAGATCTCTATCATCATGGCTATTGGAAGCCCCCCCCAGAGAAATAACACGTTCGGCAATAGATACTCGTTCGGAAGCTAACATACCGGTTCTGTCAATGGTAGCCAAACGTTCTGATGCCGATGCGGCCACTAAATACGTAGTCGACAAGCGTTCTGACGCTGATACCGCCACTAAATACGTCGTTGACAAGCGATCCGACGCTGATGCTGCCACTAAATATGTTGTCGACAGGCGATCCGACGCTGATGCTGCCACTAAATACGTCGTCGACAAGCGTTCTGATGCCGACGCTGCAACTAAATATGTCGTTGACAAGCGATCCGACGCGGATGCGGCCACTAAATATGTCGTCGACAAGCGTTCTGATGCCGACGCCGCCACTAAATATGTAGTTGACAAGCGATCCGACGCGGATGCGGCCACTAAATACGTCGTCGACAAGCGTTCTGATGCCGACGCTGCAACTAAATATGTCGTTGACAAGCGATCCGACGCGGATGCGGCCACTAAATATGTCGTCGACAAGCGTTCTGACGCCGACGCCGCCACTAAATATGTAGTTGACAAGCGATCTGACGCCGACGCCGCCACTAAATACGTCGTCGACAAGCGATCCGACGCGGATGCGGCCACTAAATACGTCGTTGACAAGCGATCCGACGCGGATGCGGCCACTAAATACGTCGTCGACAAGCGATCCGACGCTGACGCCGCCACTAAATACGTCGTCGACAAGCGTTCCGGCGCTGCGGCTCGTTATGTCGTTGACTAAGTGAGTAAAATATAAATTGCGTAACAGTCTCCACAGGTCTAATTCTTAAAAAGATTCCTGACAATCGTCAATCATTGGCTTCCCCGTTGCCGTCTCTTCACGAAGGATGCAGGTTCTCTTGCATATTCCGAAGGGGAAGGAGGTTTTTGGCGAAAGGGTCCAGGACGCCCAGTATGAGTATAATGAGCCGCCTGCACCTTTACATGTAAATGGGATTTCCATTTGCTTCTGGCTTTTTTCAATGTGTATTGCGAGAAGAAGAATTGTGGAAGACTAGTTATTCTGCTTGTCGAAGTTATATTCGGGAGAGAAGGGCGGGAGTTGAACGTCATTCTTTTAGCATCAACTTCCATCCAATTCCCTATTTGAGTAGCCGTCTTCAATTTCCGTGGATATACAGTAGCAACGAAGCATTTGGAATCTATAAACTGTAAAATGCTCCGCATTGTCCCATGCTGATTTGTACATGCAACACATTTGCTATTCTGCAGCTCGAATTAGCGAATAACTTTTCAGTTACAGACACATTAGCATGACCGGCCGGTCATGAACAGAATATGTTACATAAATGAGCGCGTGTGCGCAATACCGCAGAATCAATAGACATCATATAGGTGTGTGTGTGTGTGTGTGTGTGTGTGTGTGTGAATTCTTCGTCAAAATATAAAGAATTTTGGCAAAACGGAGGTTGATTTAAACGTTGGTTAAACTAACTAGTTAGTTAGTTAACTAGTTAGGCTGACTAACACTTTTAACTACGTTCATAGTTGTCCCGACAAGTTGGATAAACACTCCACTTCAATTTCTACGAAGTCCATTTGATATACCAGGGCCGTGTTGCTCTCCTCTTTCTTTGCAAGGCCAATTGCTTGAACTTCGGAAACCAAGGTGTACCCCAGCCAGAGGCCGCATCCCACCCTGGCAGAGCAGGGAATCCCGTTGTATTGCAACCACCGTTGGAGCCTTCGGTGACGTCGCTGAAAGCTTGATACCCCGTCGCATACAGCCAGGGATTTAAAAATCCCATAGATGGCTTGTTCTCTGCTGCCAACACGTCATTGACCAGGGCAACAATAGCAGCAAATGTTGGGGTTGAGGCTGATGTACCGTCGACCAGTTTTGTCTCCCCGTTCCATATCGTCACATAGCGATATCCCTGGGCAGAGACATCAGGGATTGCACGACCCTGTGGATTGAACATCCCAGAATGGAGAGACCCAATATTTGAGAGATATTGAGACACGCTTTTGGGATTATTGACTTGGTAATCGGGACGCGGGAAATAGTTACTGAAGCCGCCACCAGATGAGAACCCATTTCGCTCGTTTACGGCAACTACCTCCTGTTGGATGCCTTTTGTGGCCCCGACAGACGTCACCCAGGGACAGGAATCCGGAAAGCTTACGAGGAATTCAGGAGTGGAGAGGCCATCATTCGAATAGCAGTCACCCGGGTGTCCAACCCCATGATCTCCAGAGCCCATGATAACGGAAACACCTCGAGCACCAAGTTGGGCAAAGCCGTTGCATACTCGACGGGCGTATGAAATGGGCACTGTATGTTCAATGTCGCCATACGAAGTGGAAACTACACTAGGAAGATTGGAGTCGGGCTGGTCAAGAATCCAGTTCAGCCAGGCAAGGAAAGGTTCGTTCGTGTTGGTGGGAGTGAACGAATCTGCGATAAATGGTGGCTCAGGCCCTCCGACAGAATACGTTGTAAGCGGGATTGGGTGGGCGATACCGATCATTACTTCCGCGTCGAGATTGCCCTCTCGCCCAACACCGTATGCATACTGTTCAGGTGTGACGGGCCTTTGCTGGTTTATTCCGCCCTGTATGCTAATGTCTTCGAAGTTCTCTGCCCCTGAAAGGGCGTCTGGCCGGTATGTCTTGAGGAATTGAGAAATGTCGGAGCGATTGTTGAACTCTCCCAAGTAATTGACGAGTCCCATTCTTGTTTTTCTCCGGGAATCGGCCCTGTGGTACAGGGTTCCATACAATGTACGGAGGCAGAGGGGCGTTACAGCACTCTCGTTGCACGCTTGTTGAGGAGTGAGTCCTGGCGGGATATTGTTCAATTCCACACCGGTTCCAATACCCTCTGTAGCATCCTCTGCGAGTTGGTTAAGGTCTGTGACCTCGTGGTCTTCATTTTGACGATGTTTGATATGTGAGCGAATCCGCATAAATGACGTTGTTGGCTGAATGGTGTCTATAGCGTCATGTAGGTCTTGTGGTAATGACCACTCCATTGTCCGAATCGCAGAATGTTGCCCATATCTATATATGGAATACTTAGTGCCAAGTAAAAGCTCGGCTTCCGCAATTGTCACAGTGATTGTAAGCCAGTCTCGGGCTGCGTTGAAGAAGTGACGATGAATCGGCACACCGTTATCTTTCAACCAGGCTTGGATGCGGTCGATAACATGCTGCTGGGGTCGAAGTAGTCTGGCTGCTTCGTCCCTGGTCAAAAACTGACCGTATCTTCTGTGCAATGGATTGGAAACTAGCAATCCTTCAGTAACGGATAATGTCCTAGTTGCGGAGGCAGAAAGTCTAACCTTCTTGAAGATTTTTTTCTAGCTCCGTCGGATGGCCCTGAGCGAGACCAATTTGGAGGGAGATATTCATCGCCGGAGGTGCCATACCTTCGCGAATCCATTTTGATGGAGTTGGATGAGATTCTTTCAAGGTGTATGAAACTCGCCTGGTCGCTGAGGGATACACGGCTCCAATGCTCGCGAAAAGAATCACGTATAGCATCCATAAAGACATATCGCTTTTGAAAAAGAGTCGCCAAACCGGTTGGGTACTACCAAGTCCCAACCGGTAGAGGGAAGCAATCGGCATTTTCCTTCTACCTTTGCTCAGCCGAACGCTGCAGCTCAGCCATAAATCCGCATATGCCTGTTGTGGCAAGAGCTGAAAAAAGTGTCATCGCGCTGTACCGTCATCGGATGATGATTCCCAGTACGGTCGTGATGACAATGCAGAGAAATTACCAACATCATGACAAAATATGCCGACTGATATGCTCTTGAGGATGGTGTCATCCATTACTGACGATATTGTGACCGCAGCTATCCACCCACCACATGCCTGGAGGTGTGCCGCTCCAGAATAATCACGTAACCTAGCGTAGCGATTTCTACAATGATGCTCGTTCCCTCATGTCTGTTGTCCTAACGTTTGCTTTATACAAGACTCCGCATCAAACTAAAATACTCAGATCACAGACTTGCGTTTCGTTTCATCCGTCTGCCATTATGGCGTATTTCACTAAACTAAGGCAAATTGCATGGTACAAAGATAGAAGCCAATATGCTTACAGGGCCCCCGAATCTCCTGGTTCTTCTCCAAGACGTCCGTCTGAAGAGAAGGGTTCAGAGGATGACCTTCTCGAAGAGATCCAGTACCACACATTTTCTAGCCGAAGGCCCTTGTGGAAAAATGGACGATTCATGATCATTGCTCATATTGTGGGTTTCTCCCTGTATGTTGGGAGTTTGGTCGCTTTGTGGAATAGCAAGAATGCAAATGCTGAGCGGATCCAAGGAATGCCGTTCTGTGGGTTTCTGTCCTGTCTCTTGAATTCTCTGGTTCCATATTCATTTCCGTATCAACTTGGCTGAGTCGCTAATATAACTCCGTAGCTCCCGCCGTGAAGGTCTTAGAGTGGAAAGACACCATGTTTAGCTTAGAAGATCGGATCACAGAAAAGGGATCCTTCTCAGGGAAGCCAAGTGCGGAACTCGACAAAGCCTGGCATGATCTCCTCAATGGTAAGCCTTATTTACCCCCGCCAATGCTACATATCTTGCTGCAAAGCGACAGGAGAGCACCAGTGACTAACAAGCTTTTGTAGATGAGAACATCATGGTCGAGTCAAAGTACATAAAACACTATGACCGTGAGGATATCACCGTTCGCATTCCTGACGGGGACGGCTACATCGGCACCCTCAATGTATACCATGAACTCCACTGCTTAAAGCGTATTCATCAGTATATGTACCCGGACTACTATTTCGCGGATTTATCTGCAGAGGACATTGAAATGAATAGGCTCCATAATGGTATGTTTTGCTGCCGGAAATGGATTACCATCCCATTTCCCATCCAAATCTTCAATTCTCTTACCTCTAACCTAGAACACTGTATCGACTTTCTCCGCCAATCTGCTATGTGCCACGGTGATATCGGATTGATCACGTTCGAATGGCATGACAGCAGCCGGATCCCTGTTGCAAATGCTACGTCCCATCAATGCGTGAATTGGAAAAAGATAGAGCAATGGACCAAGGCTCGGACTGTTGACATGATGAAACCGGGCTGGCTGGTTCATCCTGTATTTGGTAAGCTCAAAATATCAGCTCGAAGCCCCCCTAAAAAGAAAATAAATGGATGCTAATATTCTCATTTTTCTTTTCTTTTCTTTTTTTTATTTCTAGGTGTTGCATATCCAACCGGGGAAGGAGATAAAATCGGTGCAGCTAGCAGACACCACTGAAATTGATCAGAAGCCTCGGACGGGAGAGGGGGCTTTTGTTTTGTCCACAACAATGCATTTGTCATTTGGGAGGACCCATGGCGAAATCCATTTATTGATCAACCCGTATTTTGTGTCAATTAAGGGATGGCATGGCTTATAATAAACCTGTTTGCACCTGGATCAGTGATGACAGCCGGATTATCTCCTGATAGCCTCTTGGGACCCAACAGGAGGGTTAATTTATCTTCAATAAGCTAGGTGCTTAAACACTAGCTCCCGTGGAACAGTCATGTTTTAATAAGAGATTCACCGCGGCATATCATCCACGAGCGATTGTCCAATTTGACGTAGACAGTCTTGTTTCGTTCTAAGTATCGGTTTGTATTTCTTGACAGCCTGGTAGTTAGCCGTGCTGAAGGCCTTGTAATATAATCTGACATAATATAAAAGTCAGCTGGTAGTTAACTATAAGTTAATCTAAACAGAAATCTTAATTGCGGGTTGGGCGGATAAGTCAGACAACTATTTAAAGTGGTGGAAGTAATTCTTCAGCAATGGTTGAGGAGCTAGTTAAGACCTACGGCCGTTTGAAGATCAAACACTATAATAATCAGCTTGCTTGCTAAGGATAGGCGTTTGTACCCTATAGGTAATCATAGTCCCCGGCGCTTATGCCTAATTTCCAGAACCCGTGGGCATGACGGTTCGCCCCCATTAGTTAAGGCCCGTCCTTGGACCTGGGCCATAAGGGGTGCTGAGATGGCTCGGCTGTCAGCGCTTTGATGCCTGGAAGTTCAGGCCTGAAACTCAACTTCAATGAAACCTGCAAAAAGGTGGCTTTCACTAATGTAGGTTAGCCCTTCTCTCTAACCCCTTGAGGGTAGCCTGATATTGTGCAGCATAAAGGCTGCGCAGCTGAGCTGTGAGGGGTGTTTAAGCTTTGATCAACGTTGGACTGTATCTGGCTAGAAGCTTGTTACATGATAGATCTTCATCCACAGCATTCACGAGGGTCAGGCTGACCCGCTCGGCCCCCAACGGCGATCGGATTCGCTCTGCAGGAGCCTCTGGCCGAGTGCTACCCTGAGTGAAGAGATGTATTTCCCCATTTCGACATCTCCTGTGCTCCCTCCGTGAAAATTACTGGTCGATTCCCATTAATCGGTTGCACCGGCGACGAAACAAAAATCAAGTTTCCTCAAGTGGTTGGATTGAAGATCGGGTTGGATTTTACCAAAGCCTGCCGCAGATGAAACTTCAGCTCGTCGCTGTGTAACACTCTGTCGCTCAGGTTCCAGCATTCAGCAAGTGGCAACAAGAAGAAGAAGAAGAAGAAGAAGAAGAAGAAGAAAGCTGAGTAATTGGCAGGTTGGTGAGTGAAACATAATAGCGAACCTCCCGACCCGGAAACCAACAGTCTCTAGCTAATAACTATCTAGTTCTCATCTTTTCCTGCTCGGCTGTGTAGGTTTAGTATGGACCCCATTTATAGCAGTGGCTTCCCTCTAGCCCTCAATTTTGCGCCAAATTTCCAAAGAATAAACGGAGAAGGAATTCCCAGACCCAAGAAAACGAATGCCAATAAGCTATGGCCCCAACCGTAACCCAAACGGCTGAAAAGGGCTGGCGCAAACAGCGGAAATGTAAAAGCAAAAATGCTTCGTAGAAACTGGCTGGCAGCCGTGGCTGACGCCACATAGCCCCGGTACGCTTCCATAACGTACTGCTGTTGCGAGTGCGTGCTCATGATAATTCCGAAGTTGAACAGTGCCGCGGCAATGTCAACTACAATCCATTTTTGCTTTGTTTCCGCTGCCCATCCGAACCAGAACAAGCTGATGGGGATAACAATCGAACCCGGAATCATGAGGGGGATCCGATATTCCGGTGCTGTTTCGCCCTTTGCTTTATTTTTTAAATAGGCCCACAGTCGATCTGTGAGGGCCGCTCCAAGCTGGGCACCAATGGTAGAGCCGATGACGAGAGCGATATAATGCAACCCTGAGGCGGATACGGACTGATGATATTGGGTAATCCAGATAGAGGCAAAGCTGGTCAAAACAAAGTATAGCGTACCAAAGTTATACGCAAGGAAGATGCTGACGAGTTGGATGACTGGTTGGGTGAACAACATCCACACTGGTCTAACAACACTTCGCTTCAGCTTCTGGAGAAGTGGTTGGCTGTGGATGCCCCATCGGGTATGGTATTGTCGCCCGGTTTCTTTACGTAGCTTGAGCGCCTTCCGGTGAAGTAGGAGCTGTTCATAGCATTCTGGAAAGAGCCAGATAGCAGCAATGGTGAGAACAGCGTCGAATATGGATAGAACCCAGAAGAGCCATCGCCATCCTACGGAATTAGTGATCACGCCTCCCAGGATCGGGCCTAAGGCGGGTCCAAGAAGCGGGATGAAGGTCGCAACAGCAAAGGATCGTCCGCGCTCTTCTGGCCTCCAGGTATCTCCCAAAACCGGATTTGACACCTACAAATCAGCGTCAGGTGAACCAGACTGAAGAGAATACGATTAGGATATTGACTCACGGCAAACTCTGCACTTGCTCCCAGTCCGGACAAAAGTCGTGCAGCCAACATCAACCCCTGCGAGTTTGCAAAGCCGCAGACACCGTTCCATATGATATACCATGCGGAACAGGCAATCCATACATGGCGACGACCAAATATTTCCGTCATAGGAGCTAAAACCATGGGACCAAATGCGAAGGCTAGTACGAAAATGGAAAGACACATGTTGGTGGTGTCAGGGCTGGTGTTGAGATCCTTGCCAATGGTCTCCAGGGCTGGAGCCAACATCGCCCCGCTCATCAGAGTAACCAGGCCCCCAAGGGAAGTCAACAGAGCAACGGCCCATTTCCAGAACATGCTCCAGTTGAGTGGGTTTTGGGGATCGTCGGGGCCATCCCAATCCACCTAAGGCGGGAAAAGAGATTAGTGATGCAGTGGGGTGTGTTGGGTTTAGCTATGGAAATTTAATTGTGTAAAAGCGCACCCCAATATATAAGATGGAGATGTGAAAATGGTACGAAAACATCATTTACTGGAAGGAGAATAAGTAATCGATTGGTTTTACCAGTAGCTCATCAAGGCGTCCCTGAGAACTTGAGTCATTCTCGTTGGCATTTGTATCATCACTTCTTGAAACGAGTACAGGCGTTGGAGCCTTCTCGATATCGAGTTTTGGGGGGTTCGTATGGGACATCCTTAAGAGAATTTCGGATGCTGAAGTGGAAATGGATTGTTGGACAACGAGACCTGGCCTGGAAAGGGCAAAAAGGGCGAGTCAATTAATTAATATACTGCGAAACGGTTGAAGGCAGCAACATTACCATTCTGTTCAGTCCAAATATTTAGTGGGCAGCGTGGTAATCGTCGGATCGATCTAGAATAGCTACAGTATCACCATATGGGACCCGGGAATGTTGAACCAGCTTGCGATCAACAGCTTGTGGGTTTCTTTTTCTTAAGTTCGAAGGCATTTTGATGTATGCCGTCATACCCCCATGCTCCAATTTCCGATAACTCAAGCTAGGTACGATGCATCCAATGGACGATGCAAAGGAGCAGACTTTTAAGGAATCGTGGTTTTGTCCCGCGATTTATAGCCAGGAGCCAATAACATTATCAGCTTGATATATAAGACTCACCAGCAGCTAGTTACTCTAGGTAAATGGTATATTGTTCTTAACCTGGCAAACGATTCCTCTTGTGCCATTCGGATAAATAATTGGGGATGGACTTCACATATTCTTCAGAACACGCACCTCGTTACGCTTAAAATACACAACTATAATGAGGTATGGTGGTGTTGCATTTGTTTAAAGATCTGCCGTACTGCTAAATGCGCGCTGGCAAAGGATGCCTCTATAAGATAGAGTGGATTACCGTCACTTCGGAGAGGTTATTCATGGAACATCCGGAGCCCATTGAGTGTTGATCTCGACACTCTATCTTGTTTTCGAACTGAAACCATAGCCGACAAACGGTCCCTCTAGGTATCCCATTTATGAAGGGGCATAACAACCCGCTGCGTTTGATGATTCTATCGAAACATATGGAATATATCTAACTCTTTAGAATAGATACAACTCAGAAAAGAGCAAGAATGTTGTATCGATTTGCAACCAATGGAATTTCCCGATAAGTGATATGCATCCGCCAGAGTAGTGCTGAAGTTGAAGCAAGGGTGCCAACAAAAGAGAAACCGGACAGAATTGTGATCGATGTGCAAGGCTGAAACTTCCAAATGTTTTCTTCCCTATCGTAAAATAAGCCTTTCTTATTTTATTAACTTCATTGTTGTAAGGATAGGTCAGTTATTGGTGGAGAACTCGTTTAGTTAGTGTATACACATTGAAAACCACAGGCTAAACTTTTCATCCCCTATAGAATGTTCCGTAGTGAAAGCAGCCTATATTTTCAGCCCTGGTTGAGCGGAAGGGGACTTTATAGCGGTACCTGGTTGACAATACTGTAAATTGTCAAGGATCTACAAAGGGCCTGTCAGATCTGCTTTCGATGGCAGTCTGTGGCGCAGTCAGCTTTCGAGGCCATGAATCTTGGACTCAAAGGATTGGGCCCTAGGGGCCATGCGCGCTATTTGATAAGGAAGCGGTTTAAGTAATAAAGCAGCTCCGGTGAAGTGTAAGTAATAAGAAGATCCTAGTGTTAATTGCACAGACAACAGGATCAAGTAAGACCATGTTCGGAAGCTCCGGCCGAAAGAACAAGAACGAAATCCCCCTAATGGTTCCCATCGAACGTAGCCGGAGGGAAATTCGACGGGAAAAGAACAGACTGGCACAACGACGGCATCGAGAGGGTATTTCGTTTCCCCTTTACGTTTCAATTTTTTTCACGAGGGCCGACGATAGGACATGGTTCCGCTTCAAGGTTTACACAGCTAACACTGCATGCAGCAAAGAGAAGAGGTGCCAACAAAATACATGTTCACGAAATCGCCAACACAGGTCAAGAGCAAGCGAACATTTCCTCCGTGGATAAACGGAAATCGGAAAGCCCATGCCAGAATGAGGCAGATCCTATAGGGTAAGTGGAAACAAGACTGGGAGAGGAATGAACGATTTGAAATATCCATTCGAAGAAATCAGAGATATAGAGGGCTGACAAGTTGGTCGACAGGCTGGATTACTTTGAAAAAATTGATAACATTCCAGATGCACTCGAAGCTGGGCAAACGGAGAAGGAGCTCATTGATGAGCTTGCCGATATCGGTTCGTCGTGGGGAGCAAATTTCTATCAAGAGAACCCATTAACAAGCCATCCAGCCGGTGCTACTCCAGAGACAGCGGCCCTTCATAACAGCCCACTGAGCGTTTTTCCAATTAGCCGACGACAGGCGGTAAGAACTTCTGATATCCATCATTGGAGCTCTAACAGCGATTCTTCCCCTCTGGGCCCGCCGGTTCCACTTGAGCAAACCAACTCCACACTGATCCCAATAGGGCCTTTAGATAACCGCCAGTCACCATTATTTTTTGAAAGTTATCATTCACTTCAATCGGGTTCGGAACCGACACCAGGACCTTCTTCACGGCTACCAGATTTGAGCGGTAGCTTGTTCCATAGTGAAGATATAAAAAAGCATAAAGACCATCAATTCCATAACGAACCGAGTCAATCACATCATTTTGATGACTCCTTCCGACTGCAGTCTCAAGAGCTCATGGAAACGATAGCGCAAACCTCGGGAAGATCTAATAGCACATGTAGAAATAAACGAAGGAGAACAACATACGGTGGGACCGAACACCGGTTAGAAAAGATCCTCTCAACCATTGAGGAAGCGGGTTATGAGTCCCTCGATGCCGCAGCAGCAGAATACTATACGGCTGAGTTTCCTAAAGACACACTTCTTGCATCTGAACAGTTCCACTCTCGTACTCGGCGTCTCAGCAGATTCTTGCACCAAGTGCACCAAGGCTCCAAGACTTGGAGTGAGAAAGAATCAACAGGTTACCGTGACGCAGTTCTTCGAGCCACAGAAGATATATTTCGAGACGAAGTGTACCGTCGTGCAGGAGAGCCTAACGAGCTATCATTTGACCAGCGTAGCCATACTTCTCAATCTCACTCGTCCATGAATAGTCCTTTGATGTTTCCTCATGGAGATCCTGGAATCTCTGAGTCGATAAGTGGAGTCTCGCCGCAAGATACGAGAATATTAGCCTATACAGCTGTCCAAAACCTCCTTCGCGACAGAGATCTAGCCCCAGTCCTAATGCAGGACGTATCTCGACTTCAGAATACAGTACGTTGCTATTTCCTTCTCCCTCCCCTGTAATCTCAGAGCTTCCATGAGAATAACTTAACAAGAATCTAGGTACCTGAAATTTTCACTCTCTTGACGGAGTTGGTCAGGGCAAGCGGGCTTCGCCGCCCTGACCAATCAATTGCTGTGTGTTTATTCTTGCAGATGCTGGGAATATAGCTACCTCATATAAAATAGGTTTTCCATCTAGGAGTATACCCTAGCGGGGGTGTTGCGGGTTCACTGCCATTCTTTTGCATGTCCCAATGAGGCTCTCGTCTTATTCAAGGTGCAATTTCGCAGTGCAATTAAACTTTTTGAAATGGAGCTTAAATTTTAACTTTAATTGGAAGGAAATAAAGTTCAATCACGTGGAATCCTTCAAATACGCCGTGAAACCTTTCACGAATAGTCAAATCAATCTCTTCCACAACAACCTTCAAGATTGCATATACCACGGCTCATCTGCCCGAAACCTTGCTGTCAACGCTAGATCCTTTAGCTTCGGGAACCACTGTATGGTGTCAGCTGTCATCTGTAATTGTGAATTGGTGATAGCCTTCCCAGTCGCGGGTTAACTTACAGGAGTACCGAGTCCAGTTGCTGGATCCCATCCCCTGGAAGCAGGGAACCCGGAGCTGTTGCACCCCCTGTTCGATCCCCAAGTAACGTCAGTGAATGCATGACGGGCTTCGGAATAGATCCACGGGTTCAAGAATCCTAGTGGTGGTCTACTATTTTCAAGCAGGGCATCATTAACCAACGCGATTATTGCAGCAACTGTTGGAGCAGATGCACTTGTTCCGTCCTGGAGATGAGCCTCGCCATTCCAAAGCACAGAGAAGTGATATCCCATGGCGGCAATGTCGGGATATCCGCGCCCATTTTGGTTATAAAGTCCGTGGTGTTGTTCATTTCCCAGCGTCTTCAGGTACTCTTCAACTGCTTGCATCTGATATCGTGGCCTCTCGAAATAGTCGCTGAAGCCCCCGCCACTGGAAAAATCTCCGCGACCGTCGAATCCCACAATCTCGGAGCCTACAAGGCGGGTAGCCCCTACGCTTGTTACATAAGGGCAACTAGCTGGGAAAGATGGTGCGAATCGTCTTTTCTTGCCCCCGATACTATCGATTATGCACCGCTCGTTCTTCCCAACCCCCCAGTCCCCACTTGCGACAAGGATTGAGACGCCACGCGCTCCCAGCTTGGCGAACTCGTTACAGACCCTTCGTGCATATTCGGGAGGGACGGATTGCTCGGTATCAGCGTATGAAATAGAGATAACGTGGGGCAAAGTCTCTTTAGATTGCATATGCTGCAGCCATGCCAGATACGGCTCATTGGTATTTTCCCGATGATCTTCAATAGGCCGAAATGGAGGCTTTGAGCCTACGTTATATGCTGTCATCGGAGTCGGCCAGCTAAGTCCCAGAATAGTCTGTGCATCCAAAGCACCTTCGAACCCCTTATTTTCATCATTTTGCTCTGGGGTGTTAGGTGACTGCCTATCATCGCCGTTCGCTACAATTTCTGTCGTGAATTGGTACGCCGCATTCGCCTCTGCGGCTGATGGGTTATATCGTCTAAGAAATAGGTCGACATCGGAACGATTGTTCACTTCACCCAGGAAGTTCACTAGGGCGATACTATTCTTGTCGGGTGCCTTCTGCTGATAACCCCAAGTTCCGTAAAGGACACTTAGGCAAACTACGGAGATCGCCAGACGATTGCATGCTTCTTTGACTGAAGGACTCTGGGAAAGCTCATGAGCTAGAGGGATGTCGAGGTGACCACGCTCCAGCACATCCTCTTCCACTAGTTCCTCATAAGTTGGGATACGCTGCTCCGTTTCCCAACTCGGTGGGGAGGGTCCACCATATCTAGATTGCACCTGTGGTTTAAAAAAAGAATTGGTGGGCTCTACAATATCGATGTGATCAGCCAGGTTGGCAGGCAGGGACCATGACAGGGACCGTATGGCAGTCGACCTATCCTCATGTTGATACTGTGCATACTTTGCATCGAACAGCCGTTCAAGAATCCAAATAGGTGCGCTGAAAGAAATCCAATCTCCAGAGGAGGAACATGTTACATTCAAAGGGACGGAGCTGGCTTCTCGCAGCCAGGCAGTTACTGCGTCAAAAGATGCAGGAGACGCTTGAACTAACTGGTCCACCTCATCGAGAGAGAGATGCTGGCCGTATCGAGAATGCGATGGGTCAGAGACTGCAAGCAAGGTCTATTAATATACCAACAACCAACCCCCTCCAAGATAAACTTTGCATACTTTCCATAAGATGTTGCTCAAACATGTCCCATCCTTGCTGCTTGATCCCAATGCTTACACTAACGATTTGATTTCGCGATACTGATGCTTTTCGCGACCAGCCTGCCGGGAGGTCGACTGAGCTCCTGAGTACATACTGGGTGTCTCGACAGAAGATCTCGGTAACTGAGGCGATGAAAAGTAGTAAAAACAACAGTCTCTGAACCGCTTTAGCCATTATGAATTGCCTCCACATTGATTGATGCTCAAGGAATGATAATCAAACAAATCCAAAGAGAACAACATAGTACACAATATGCATTTCCCATAATCAGATCATATCACTAGAATCTTCATGCCGGCTGCTTGCCAAGAACAGATAAGGTTCGATGACAAACTTAGGGGCAATCACCCATGGATAACTAACTAGTCAGTCCAAGGGTCCAACAGCTGACCATTTGCATTAAAAATGACTGTCATGGCATAATAATCAATGCTGACTGCATGTGGTTCTGCACCAATCAAACTTTCCGTAAAAGCGAGAGGACGAACCCTTTGTCATCCCAGGCAAAAAAAAACATCTTATCTAATTGGGACCCGAACGTTGGCTCCGAAAGTTAACAACTAAACTGATTAAACTATGTTAACAAAAATTCATATTTTACTTATCTATACATCTTGCTCTTCTGCCTCTCTAATTTTAGAATCTTAACCTTTATACCTCTTATTTTCAAGCAAATTCCCACGAAAGTGGGAATTTCCCAGCGCAAATGGCTACGTTCAACAGATATCTTCTCACGTCTATTCATGCCATAATATTAATCTTCACCAGCTTCACACTCTCAGAGCCTGTTCAATATTGCCGGTTCGGATACAATGAACATGGACCCTCAGAGGTTGACTTTTGCATGGGTGTCGTGATGCACTACAATGTCTCTTCACAGAATCACGATATGTACCTAACGATGGAGGTCCCTCGAATGTCTTCCCTGGGATGGACTGCGATCGGTACGGGTTCCTCTATGACAGGATCATTGATGTTTATTATTTACGGAGACCCCTCCGATGAGCACGGTCCGGTCGTCAGTATCCGCACTGTTAAAGGTCACCATCAACCCAAATTGGTTTCCCAGAGCCAAATGGGCGGATCAGATCTTCGTGTGCTCCAGGCATCTTGGATGCCCAGCCCTCGTGGTATGGAAGCTGCGAAAATAGCTTTAGTGTGCTATTCGTGCGAAAAGTGGCCAGGTGCTCCGATCTCCGCCCAAGCTTCATCCCAGCCGTGGATTTGGGCGTGGAACGATAAGCAAAACATTAAAGTCTACTCGTACGATGTCCACTTGAGTATGCATAAGCACCATGCCAGTAGTGGTGGCTGGGGAAATTTCTACGTTGACATGGCGCGATCCGTTAGCACGACCACCGACCCACCATCTTTACCTCCGCTCAGAGTCGGTGTCGCTCGATTAGGAACGTCTGATAGTCCTATGACTGCTGGCGGTATGGTCAACTTCATGAAAGAGAATCCGATACCTTCTATACACGGTTTTGTAATGGTTGTCTCCTTTTTCATTCTCTTCCCACTTGGTACTGCCACAATACGTTCTGGGTCTGGAAATGCATACAAATATCATTGGGCCCTCCAACTAGCTGCGAGTCTATGCGCCTGGTCTGGTATAATTATGGGACTCTTTATGAATCATCGCTTGAGCACTGTCCATCAATGGATTGGCATATGTCTAGGGTCGTTCCTCTTCATCCAGAGTTTGCTGGGCTGGCAACACCATCGGGTCTTTGTTCGAATACGTCGTCGTCAATGGGCTTCATATGGCCATATCTGGCTCGGACGCCTTACACTTATTCTTGGCTGGAGCAATATTATCACTGGCATGTTATTTTCAAGGTCCAGCATGACATGGATAGCTTCGATGGCAAGTCTTATTACCGTGAATGCATTTGTCCTATCATTTTGGGTTTGGCGGGCCTCGAGACGCCAATCTCGTACCAAAGAGGATGTCGCCGATGAAACCGCTGCCCAAGTGGCGTTGCCCGGGCCAAAAAATGGTGATTATTTTGCACTGGGGACAATTGACGAAGACGAAAATAGTGATTCAGAGGATGGGAATAAAAAGCATAAAAGTGGACGTAAGCTCTACGACCCGGTTGCTGAGAATACCGGGCAATGAATCGTTGGAGAGGAAAATTTTGGTTGTGTTTGGGAGTAATAGTCACCTCTTCACTATGCATATCGTGGATAAAATTCGCCTATATAAACCGTCTAATCCACGCCCTTCCCCTGCTTTTTGGTAATCCCCTATTTTCCCTAATTTCCACCTTTTTAATAAATCTGTGATCCCGGGCGAAACCGGCATGATAAATGATACGGTGTATTAATATAACGATACACAAAGTAATGTATGTTCTTGGGTCTATCGTAGTCTTTGCATAAATAATAAGGATTTAGAATGGAAAAGAGGAAATTACATCAAGATCAGCAGTATTATCCCAAAAAAAAAAAAAGGAAAAATATATATATAACGGTCATCGATATATTGAAGATTTGATCTCATCCCTACTGTTGTGATGCTACCATTCCCGTCAGCTAATTTTTCTCCATTTGCAGTCCGGTTCATGCTATGTGATATCATGAAAGCGGAAATACTTAACCCTACATGCGCAATAAGTTCACTCAGGGAACTGGATTTGAACATTGTCGACGAGCATATTCGATGCTCTCTAAGTTGCGTCCAGCCCCGCTCAGTTGCATACATGGCTGCATGTTGAACCATTTCGTCCAATGATTCCCATACGATCGATGAGTTGCATCTCTAATCCAGAACCTCTGAAAGACTCTTGATTATCGGAGCCTGTATCTGTGGAGGTCCTTCGGTCAATATCAGCACAGGTCAAAGGTTGGGGCCTTGCTAAGTTTTTCATCCGAGTTTCTCTTCTGCAATTGGGACTCCCAGAGTGCGTGCCAGACTCTCTTCTCAGGAACAAAGGAACATGCGATTGGCGGAAGTAGAGCGAGCGATTGAAAGAGGTCAGAATGTCAGAATGCGCAGGAGATATTCGCCTCGTCGCTGAACACCCTAACTATGCATGCATTCTAGATTGCTCTAAATGGCTCCACCGTCTCACCAGAATGCTGACAATGCTCTATACGAACTTGAAAAAGAAGAGAGATGCATATCCTCGTATCAAAGATCTGAGAGCAAAAAAGAGATAAAATGAGTATATCCCTAAGCTAGCTATAGCTGGATGGAATGACATGAGAAAGCGCAAAACGCCCCCTATCCCCACCCCCCAAACTTAACCCCCCCCCCCCCCCCCCCCAGACCTATTTTCGAAAAGGGGAAGGGTTTTAAAAGGGAAAAACCCCACTGGGTACCAGGGAAAAAAAAAAAAATCCCCCCCCGCCCCCAACCAAGGGGAATTGGGTTAAAAAATCAATAATGTCATAAAAGAAACCCGTCAGCCCGAAAATTGCAGAATAGAAACAGACTTTTCACACCCCCCCACCAGGTGTCTCTCGCCCATCATCGCAAAATCCGTGGCTCCTACAATCACAATCTGATCCTTTCAACCGTCATCTTCCGCCTCTCTGCACCTGTCAACCCCAGCCGCTCCCTCATCACCGACATACTTCTTCGCAGCAATGCCCCACCTCCTTGCTTTTGCTGCTGTTTCTGCTGCTCTTTTCGTTGTTTCTGACGCAGCCGCAGCTGCTGCTGCTGCCGCTGCCACTGTTGTTGCTGTGGAGGTGGCAGTGGTGGAGCACGAAGGATATACCTTAAGGGAAAGAGAGATGGCGGCCGTGGAGGTCGCGAAGGTTTACTGTGAGAGGCATCAAATCGGACATGGAAAGCTTTAGAGAAAAAGGATTTTATGCGGTGGGGAAGGAGGGTCGAAGACGATGGTTGGAATTGAGATTGGAGCTGGTATTGCGACCGATGGTGGTTCTCGCGGTAATATTGTCGAAGGTGTGCGGTAGATGATGGTAGTGCTGGCGAAAGTGAGGACGTTTGCTTCGGTTTCGTGATCCGGCTCCTGAAAAAGATGCCTGATCTGCGGCTTTGTTTTGTTTTCCATGCTTTCGACCCGTAGCGCTGATAGTCGGAGGTGAGAACAGCAAGTTGTTTGGTTCTTTGCCGGTCCAAGTCATGATATGTTGGTGTATTATTGGGTGTGGGGGTAATGTTCAAATTATGATCATATCCGCTGCTGTCGGAAGAGAAAGAGTACAGTTCTGTGCGATTCCCGTATTGGCTTTCGGGCTGTATTTTCAACCTCGGTGGGCATGTCCCTGGTGTTGGTGCGTTGCGGTCGTTCTTTGGGAGAATAGCCATCGGCAGGCGACCAGTTGGAGGTGGCCACATTATCCGTGGCTGTTCTACCTGTTGATTAGATATTACCTCGCCTGAGTCCGGTTCAGGCTTTTTGCACTCGGCGGAAACCTCACAGAAACAGGTTTCTGACACAGTGTCATCCACGGCCACAAAAGATGATTCAGAGCTCCCCTCTCTGCCTTGCCGGTGTTGAATGCTTTCAATATTAAGAGCGTGAGGAAGAAGTGAAGGATCAATGCTGCCAACTGTAGTGGCATAAATAGGAAGTATTGGATCGGCCGTCGTGGAACCACCATGAGTTGCACAGGTAGAGTTGGAGCGATACCTCGATTTTGTAACCAACGACCACCCCAAATCTGGATGGTATAGGCCTGTGGGACCTGCAATCGTCCCGCACGAGGCTGCAAGGAGTGGATTTGGCTCTGACTGATATCCGCAGGACTGGAGGGATAACGACCGCTTCCTTACATGTTTCTGCACATCCTCACCTGTATCTCCGTCTGTAGAAAGCAACAGAAGGGCCTTCTGGTACCGTTTTGAAGAACACAAACTATGAGCTCTTGAAACGGCACGCGGAGGAGGTTGGGAGAGCATGGTATTCCGAGGACAATTTGGTAGATGGCTCTCAATTGATCCAACAGCTTCGGTATCTGGACCATAGACGCGCGAAGTAGGGCGGGGAATGTCAGGTAAAGGCTTATCGAGCTTACAGCTCAAGTAGTTAGAATTGCTGGGAGAGTAGCCCTGTGGAGGAATAACATTTTCCAAACCCTCCAGCGACCTCGAGAGGAGGAGCGGGGGCGTACATCTAGGAATTATCATGGATGCCATTTGATTGAGATAGTGTGCAGAAAGAAGGTGAGTCGAGAGGACAGGATGACAGAGAGAACCGCAGGAAGTGATATATAGCAAGGTCAACAAGGTAACATTCCGGTTTTAACTTCTTAAAACAGGCCGAGCTGGGAAGTTCCAGACCGGGTTGTCAAAAGTCTTTTTCACGCGAAGAGGTCAGTAGCAAGGAAGTGTAATCTTGTCAAATTTTAACCAGCGACAAAGAAGCGCAACAAAAATGGCCATTTTCGATCATGATACAAGGAGGGTTTGTCTGAAATGTGGGAATATAACTTGCAGTGCTATGCATGTAGATGTACCATCCAACGAGCAAGCGAAACGGAAATGGCAAAGAAATGGCAAAAGGGAAGCGTGGTAACAACAACAAGGAACCAGAGAAAAAACCTAGCAATGATGTAAACAAGATGAAGGTTTTTTCCCCACTGAGCAAAACGCCCAGGGAAGAACTTGGGGATCTATATATTTATTTAAGTTAGGTGACTGAGCCAAATGTTGGTTGGGTCCAATAAGACGCTGGCAAATGGGGAACGAAATAAAGAAAACCAAAATCACCATCCGTCCCCACGAACGCCAAAAAAAATATATATATATATAAAAAAAATAAAAATAAAAAATATCGCGCGCAACTAATGCGTTGCACGGTTGTTGCCCACCAAAAAAAAGTAAAATGAGTGGGGCCCAAGGGTCAAGATTGAGAGAAAAGTCGAAAGTTGTAGTTAGACTCCGTAGTTTTTATAACGGTGCCACTGGTTTAGGTCACGACAATTTGGCAGCTTTATCAAATATTTCCTTGGTGAGCAGGTCCCCAGCCTTTCGAGCACCCTGGAATCTGCCGATTCTTTTCAGTCGCTTGATCATGTCCTCGTCGCCAAAATGACTATTATGCTCGAATTGGGGTTCCTCTGCGTAGGCCACCCTCGCCGCATCGACTATAATTCGCGCGGTCATGCCAAATACGCGATAGCGGCTTAGCCCCATAGAAATCTCCTGTTCTTCTAATTGATCGACGGCGGCATCCCGGTCGATGCTCTTTCTTCTCGGCTTTGTAACTTTCTGGTTTGTTATTGGAACGAAGAAATGGTGCACTGCCAGAAAGGCCTTAGTAAACTGAACAGCCACAACCCCCTTCAAAAGATAGGAATGATAAGGCAGTGTGGTGAAGGTTGTAGTGTAGGGAATGGGTCATATTCATAACATACTGCGCCACCAAGTCCCATTCCAATTGGTCCAGGTCCCTTCATACCACTCGTTCGGGTCGCCTGGAATACTGTGATCACCGTCGCCACGGGGTTCATCCTCTGTCATCAGGAAATTATGGAAAGGCCCGGAGAAGACGGCGGCCACCTCCTTGCCGTCCAATTGGGCCATGAACGCTTCTTCAGGATCGGCGTCTTCGCCCGTGGCTTCATTGAACGAGTGAAGAAACGCCGCACATGGTCGCACGACGAGCTCGGTGCGTGCGAGGTTGGCAGGAAATTCGCAGAGATGTTCCACCCAAAAAGGGGACGGGAGCTTCTGGTCGATATTCGGCAGGCCGATTTCCTCAAACGCTTCGCGCCGAGCGGTCTCGAAAGGCGTCTCTGATAGAGAATCTGCCTTCCCGCCTGGCAATGCGGCTTGACCGGGATCTGATGAGATATTTGAAAATGCGTGAAGAATTGGTTAGCAACTGGTTAGTTAGGTACAGCGGTTTTCCTTCCCCGTCCATAAAAAGAGCTAACTAGCAACACAACCCTCCTGCACGCATGACATACAAGAATTGAGAGTGTTAGACCTGATGGTTAAAATGACCCGGAGATCACCTCGTCGATCGGCGAAGAGCAGAAGCAGCACGGCAGCCCGACGGGAGAGTGGGACGGACTCATAATTCGTTGGCGGCGGCACATAACGCCTCAGTCGCTCGATTGCTTGCTAATCCTCCCCACCTGTTAGAGGACTTGAGAATATAAAGCAAATATATATATATATATATAGTTACGTCGCACCAAGCCTGTGTATGTGTATGTATTTAGGGCATTGTCAAAAGACCAACCTTTGATGCAGGAGATAGGGGCGCCATGGTTCTTGACAATTTCAATCCTAGTGAAGAATCTAGGATAATATATGTCTTACTCCTGTGTGTGTGCAATAAACTAAATGATTTCTGTCTAATCATGCCCCTCTCCCTGGAAGGGGTGCCAACATCATCATTCTTATACACGGGGCTTCGTGTGTAAGGCAGCCAACGAAATCGCCGGCTTGCCGAGGTTAGTTTTTACTCTTATGTGGCCTAACCTTGGGGAGTCGCCAATTGAACAAGGCTACGGTGGAAGAAACATCTCGACCTTGGACACGAATGGATAACCGCTGTATCATCAACTGGCCTAATTACATTATTCGCCTTCAGCTTTGATGGTTGAATTTCTCGTTTACATATCAAGTTACACAACTTGCTACAGGGAAATCTTTTCGATATGGACAGTAAAGCTAGAGGGGGAGAGAGTAAGGTAATATTCACACCTATTAGGTAGATCCACAAACACACCCCTAAGATCGAATGCCCCAATTTTTATAACGATTTATTATATTCTCACTCTTGTGTTGGGCACAGTGATGAAACTGCCTCTTTCTCTATGAAATAACCAACCCACCCAGTTCCATCAACTTGGGAGACAAACCACGGCTAAACCCGGTTAATTCCAAACACCAACATCTAATCCCAATAAAAATTAACAGTAAGTGAAGCAAAAGACTAAGAAAAGGGAAAGCCATCGGAGGAGAACAATGGAAATCTGGCCACAGAGAATTTCGCAAAAGAGAGTTAAGGATGGATGCTCTGTGTTGGGGACAAAGGAGAAAAAACACAGGGTTCGTAGTTGGAAACGACAAAGAAAAATCTGTAATCAACAATAAAAATTATGTTTATAGTTATTCACAGCCAATATGTCAAGAAAGAAACCAAAGAAGACAAAAGGCGATCAAATTTAGGAGACAGTCAGCCAGCGCCATCAAAGGAAATATGCAGCCCTAGGTGGTAGTGAATCGCCTTGGGGATATTCCAGATGACGATGTTGAAGCGGCAGGTGTCATACCAGCCAAACAGCCTTTCAAGCTCATCGCTTCAAACCCGATATGCAGAGAGTACTGGGATAAATTTATTCCTGTTACTTCTTTTTCAGCTGCTTCGCAGCGTCGGCTTTGGACTCTTTAGCCTCAGAAGCCTGTGATTTCTGGACAGGAGCAGCTGCTTCCATGTTCTTGTCCTCCTTGTCATCGATATCCTCATGATCCTTAGGAGCAGAAACACCAGCTTCCGCACGTTCAGTATTTTGTTCGTTTTCCTCCTCAATAAGCTCTTGCTGCTCCTTGATGACCTCAAGACGCTGCTTGTTGGTTGCGGCGCCTTCAGCATTATGCACCTCAAGCTCGATCTCATGGAAAAGCTCTTCGGGGATACTAGACAGGACGGAACGCAGCGCATCAATCTGGGAGGAGATTTCGTATTCCTGGGATTTTTGAGTGTACAAATATGCGTTGCTGAGAACAAGAAGGGTCGATGGCACGCGTTTGTTAAGGCGCAGGTTTAGCCACATAGAAAGATCGTCCCGCAGGCGGCCTGGGGATATGCCATGTGTGCGTAACCCACGCGAGGCACAGGCCATCTGGAGTTCGGGGACAGAGAGCGACTCGACGCCTTCATATGAGATGGCTTTGTCATCCCGCTTGATTTGACGCATCCGGTGACGCACATTGTACCGGAGCATTGCGTCTGTGCCAAAGGTATTGAGATTTATGTACTTGCACATTGCCACTAGTTGGGGCCGTGACAAGTTATCCAAAGTAAGGTCATCCTTGAAGGTTTGGCAGACCTTGATGACGTCTTCATCAGAAGGTGACTCGCCAGTAGCTCGAACCTTTCTGAAAAATTGGGCAAAATCTTCTTTTTTCGCGTTTGTAGCGTTGACGGGAAGACCGGTTTCCTTGAGTGTGTTCTGAAGGAACGATCCCATTTCCTTCCGTGTAGCCCGAAGAATTGCGGCCTTCGCCTCCTTCGACTTTTGGGCTTCATAGGTGCTGGGAAGAAGGTTTGGGAAGAGCTTGAGAGCGACGGGCAGAAGTAATTCGGCAAAAGGGACGATAACAAAGACAGAGAATGGCACCAATCGAGCTAAGTCTTTAACAGTACGTTGTAGCTGTTGTTCGTAGGTTAGGAAGTCTCCAAGAACAAGATCAAGAAGAACACAATGTATATAGGGATAAAAGACGAACCTGTCGATATTCTCTGCGGCTAAGCTCATAGCCAGCAGCCATTTTCAACGCCAATTTTGTACTAATCCGGACTTCCGTAGCCAACAACTTCGTTCCATCCCAATAATGCTGAGCTTCCTTCTTGATCTTCTGGCCCAGCGTAAGTTTCTTGGTTTCCTTCTTCTCCTCCATAGCCTTTTTCTCCACCGCTTCCACTTCAAGCGCGTTTATATACTTTCCTTCCGCAACCGCCGCTTCAGCAATAGAGTTACTTATGGCTGTCGCTTCCACCTGTGAGTTAAGTTGACCTGAGGTTTTTTCCCCCGATGCTCTCGCTGTCGGGGTTTTCAGCGCAGTGTTTGTGGTAGGAAGTGGTTTCTTTGCCAACTCCGCATTGAATCCCAGAGGGGGGAACGATGATTCCTCTATGGGCCTCGAGGAGGTGGAGGGCTCTGTGGCATAGGTACGCTGCTGCAACAGGAGGAGGATGGCAAGGGATTGGATATCTTGAGGGAGGGAACGACGGTAACGTAAAGTCACTGAGGAATAAAGGCCTAGGCTTCCTGGGGTGCGGCGACGGACTACGCTGAGTTAGTGAACTGGTTCTTCGCTGGAGAGGTATTCGACACCAAACGTACAGGCTGCCATCCTCTGGACTGGCACCGCATTGCGGGCCAGGGCGACTGATTTCATGCTGTGCCGATAAGTTGAGGAGAAGGAAAATCCGAGTACCTCCTTGATAGAGACGTAGACAGTATAACGTGAACAGCAAGGTTCTCGTCAAGAAAAGTTATGAGGATGTATGTTCTGAGTGGTAAGAGATTTTGGGCACTGCGGTGTTAGATGCGGGTAAGCAAAGTTTTGAAAATATCACGTGAATTTAATGTCATCAATCTTTCCACTAACAAGTCTAACTAACATTAGTTAGTTAACTGGGAAAAGCTGAGTCAGCAGACGGAATCTTCGATGCTTTTTGTTCACTCATAAACGTCATTTCATGCAGCTATAAGTCATAGGTGAAATAGTTATTTACAGTGTCTCAGTATTAGATTTGAAATATCCTGTTTCATCTCATCCTAAATGATCAATGGGAAAGCAAGAAAAGCGAGCCTATCAGACATGTCAGAATATCGACCCTCAGAAATCATATGCTGTTGAACATTGGAAGGAGAATAACAGACGCCATATATTCGTGTTGAATAAGTCATAGGACAGCAGAAAAACACAACCCGCTAACGGACAAACTCGCATCGCAGTATAGAAAGGTCATATGCAGAGATAGCAAGTCCCAAAAGACAACGAAGAGCAAGAACGCTTCACGAGGGTATCCACAAAGAAAGACAAAAAATGGAGTAGGGGGCAGGCAAAACCATAGTAGTGAAGGCGAAAACGGAATTTGGGGGGGGGGGGCCGACTCTCTAAGTTCTGGCATGGAGTCCAGAACTTGGATTGGCCTCCACACTGGAACTCCCATGTTGCGCGTCGAGCAGCGGGATCCGGTTAACAGCGGATTTCTCCGGTAGTAAATCGGGTTCCTTGATATCCATATCATCATGGCTATGGGGCTTACCGTTGCCGCTAGATTCAGGTGCCAAAACGGGACTCGTCGAGCCTACCTCCGGAGAGGACTGCCACTTGGCAACATCTTTCTTGAGCTGTTCTAGTTCCTTCTGAAACCGCTTGCCGAAGACGTCAATGTAGAAAGTAGCTCCGTTGTAGACACTCCACGAAAACACGACCATAAGGAAAAGTGCACTGGCCCAGCGGTACCAGAACCACAAAGGGCATGGTGTTATGGTAAGCAGTGCATAGACATACTGTATGAGCATGAAGGAAGGCTCTTGTAATTGAAGCGGGAGATTAAGGACAAATTTCCCAATCCAGGTTTTGGCATATGATTTCCGCAGCCATGTAAAACTTGTTGGCCGCCCTGCTGCAATCTTTTCACGGCGACGAACAGTGATAAGGAAGTGATAGGACAGCTGCCACACAGCATAGGGCACGGAGGCCCATATCATCATTGCGAACAGCGTGTAATGTTCTGGGCTACCTGGTTTGCTGAATTTGATGTTGTAGATAGCAGGAAATCGTCTAAGCAGCACTTCCGGTGGTGTCATATGGACTAAGCAATGGAGGGTGACCGGGGGCATTATATGAATGAACAAGCTGGTTTGGATGTGGTCAGGAATATGCCAAGAAAGCGATATTGGTCCAATAACTTCAGCAGACTTACCTGGTAACTTTATCGAAACTGTGAAAAACAAGCGAATTCCTCCAAAAGGCAATGGCAATGGCATTGTTCCCATAAGCAAGGCAGTATGTACTAAGGAACAATCGTTTCGAGCTCGGAAAGACCCAGATCGACAAAACAGCCAAGAAATTGACAAAGTAGCAGAGATCAGCCAGGAAGTAATGGTAGCCACGCTTGCGATAAGTGTAGTAGCGTATCGGCATGAAGTAGAAGAACTGAGCAGAGTACCAGTAAAAGAAAGACTGCGGGTAGGCACCAATCAAATACCCGCAGATGAGGATATTAAGGACCCCTGCAATGAAGGAGACTTTCTCGCGGGCGGTCACCGTCGCGGTATCGTTCCAACGAGCACCCAGTCGCTCAACGGAATCTTTCATTCGTTTCCGGTATTTCTCGAGCTGTTCGTCTGACGAGGGTACCCGTCTGCGCCATTCCCCCACTACCCTTTGCTTCGCGTGGATGCCCGTGCTCTTCAGTTTTTCCTGTTGTTTCCTAACCTTCTCCTTCTGAGCGGTTAACGTATTCTGCCATCTTTCTAGATATTGCGGCAGTGCCAAGTTTCCCAGAATATCGAAAACGGTAAGTTTGTCGAGAGGCGGAAAGGGTTCCCAATCTTCCTGGAACGAGCTGCTGGTTCCAAACGAAGACGTGCGTGAGAGACCATTAGATGTTGGTGAAGCATTTTGTTGTTGTTGTTGTTGTTGTTGTTGTTGTGAAGTTGGCTGCGCATCCTGATCATTTGCTGTGGCGTCGAGGGCATTCCCATCGGGTTCTGTCAAGTATTCGTTTAGGTGGTCTGGCTCTGACCTGCTTTTCGGTATCGAGAGTGGTTGAGGCATCCTTACCCAGGCCTGCCGGGCGTTGTAAGTTGGGAACTCTGCTTAAGATTAATGCGGAATTAAAATGCTGAACTTTATTTTTTGATAACTCGAATCAAACATCAGCCTTTAAGAGCTTCCAAGTTACGATTGAATTCAAACGATCAAAGTATAAGAAGAAGCGACAGGACATAGCAGCAGCATGATACTCACCAATAGAAATAACATGTGACTGCAAATGTTGTGACCAAATATGAATTAAGTCTTTAAATATCGCGAGCTCTTCATACAAGCTGTGAATGTAATCAGGTTTGTGGCGGATCTATAAAATACAATATGCGGAGAGAACGGGCACGGGAGCTAAGTCGTATTTATCACCAACAGGATAGGTGCCATCATCAGGCCCGCAGTTGGGTCATTTAGTTAAATGTCCAGCCCAAGAGAGTGGTCTGCTGCTCCACGTTCAAGGAGCAGATCGAACATGATGAGACTTTCCACCCGGCTGGTTTCTTGGATAAAATAACAGCTGGAGGTTTGATCTTTCTCCGGGTTGGTTCGTTCGTTGGCGCTAGACCGGGCTTGGGCGGCTTACGTGACCAAATCACATGTTAGTCAAAAACTGTTGGAGCCTAGGCTTCCTATTATGGACTAGCGCACCGCACAATAGTATATAGCATCCCTGAGATAGGCTACCAAATACAACCACTTCAGACGTCCAACAAAAACTAAGTAGTCCGGTTGTTTTGCTCGGTTTTGCTCTCTGGATTGATTAGCGGATGATGCTCATTTGGCGCGGAGGGAGTTGGGTGGAGCAGAATCCATACGCATCTTTACATAATCTGTACAAGACCTCTAGGGCCCGGGGAATTAGGAGATGATTCTGGTCTCCCAGAAAGCGGACACGAATAAAAAATAAAAGGTGGCTTGGGTAGTTAATTTACACAAAGCCTAGCTATCAGTGCTCCCGATGAACCTCCTTGTAATACTATCTAACTCTAAATATCTCTTGTTTTTTGGGAGAAACAAGCCAGAACCAGAAAGAATCCCCTCACAAACAACGTAATCTGTCACCTAAGAAAATCAAACGAAGACCATACGGCCGATGTCAACCACTTTTTACACATACGGATACGGTTCCGCCCAGGCGATGAACGATGTAGCTCCCCAGGTAACTATTTCTATATGAGAAAGAAGAAAAGCAAAATAACCCACAAGTTACATTGGAGCAAGGGGACATCAATACCCTCAGAGACACCAAGTTACAACAAGCCGGCATCCCGATAGATTAGTTATCTATATCAAGTCATGATTCGGATCTCTGCTTACAGTACTCTCACTGTACGATTGCTCCGAGAGAGGGAGAGACTTGGCACGTAACCATAGTTAACTGGGTTGGTTAAACCAATCTGAACACCCCGGTTAACCGGGCCCTAGAGGCTTAGTAAGCTACCGCTCACCTGCAACCTGCTGGTCGGGCCCTCTTACGAGGGCCCGCCATCTCAACGTTACTGCCTGCCTATACCCATGACATTCAGCTAATTTTTCAACGAATTGCTCTATATTTTATATATACAAGTAGATTATAGTGTAAATGAATTATCTCTGAGATTTCCTTGTAAATTTGGTGGCATTCACATAAATGCCTTTATCTCTGCAATACCTCTTAAGTTCCTTCATAACCCTCTTCCATTTTGGCCACAATTTCTTCAATGCCTCCTCTATATCAACCTTCTTATTAATTGCCGTCATTTTGCGGCAGTAGCTTGCGGATATGACACCTCCCTTATTAACCACCCTCCGCGAGCCGCGAAGGTGGTGTTCTTGAGCCAGTGTGGCAGCAGAGGTTTGAGCTAGCTCCTCCTGCAAAAGAGCCACTGTATTGGCCATTGCAATAATACCCTTATAAAGCTTTTGTAATCCCATATAAATATAGTCCGCGTCATAGTTGTCATCCTCCTCCAAAGCCTCCAGTTTCCGCTTATATCGATTGAATTGGTGTATGGTGGAAGGAGTATACCAGGTCTCTGAGTCGGTGGAAACAGACCCCTTGGATTCCATAGGAGTTGATTCAAACTCACGTAATTTATTAAGGACAACTGACGGATTGAATGGAACCAGGCCAGTTGCTTTCCATCTTTGCTTGATTGTATGAACCTTGAATGTTGCTTTCCAAATAGAGGTGATAGCATGAAGAAATTCAACCTTTGTGAACTTCTCACAACCACGTCGCGTAGCTTCCTCGACTGCGGCAGAATGATGATGTTTAAAAGCCTGAAAAACACCAACGTCCAGAGGCTGTAAAAGATGACTAGTGTGAGGAATTAAATAGAAAGGTATGATGTTGTGCTTGTCACAAAAAGTCATAAATTCGAGGGTGCAATGGGAATCAAATCCATCTAATAGAAGCAGACGGTGGGTTCCTTTGATGCGGGCTTTGGTGGAGTGATGGAAGTGCTGAATCCATTGAAAAGAGATCTGATCATTATTATAGCCAGTGTCGGACGTAGCTATCATGGCATCCTTCTTCTCTATTTCATCTGTCCACCGCTCTTGTAGCTGCTTTGCAGTGAGAATATATAAAGGAGGGATAGTAAAGCCATCAGTTGCAATCCCTTCAATGATTG